TGTGCTCCGGAAAAAATCCGGATTTCCGGATTTTTCGCTAACAGTGATCCGGAAGTTTCCGGAGATCGAAGGTCCAGACTTTTCAAAAAATTATTGATCACAGAATTTCCGGAAATCAAATTTTCAAAGGTGGAACTTAAAAACACAGTTTATTTGTTTGTAAGGGAGAGCCAGATACTTTATAAGCTTATATTCATGATTAATATTTATTTTTTTATCAGTAAATAGTTATTATAATCATAAACTCAAGAAAGATAGACATATTTGTAAATTTTAATTACTTCTCCAGGTCATCATAGGTATGTGTAAATGGTATAGGTATGAGTAACTCAAGAAATTTTCCGGAATTTTGACTTGGGCTCACAATCACCCCTGATAATTAATTTGTTTTCTCTAACTTCTAATATAAATTGCTGATTTGAAATATCGCTTATAATAATTTTAAGTTCGTAAAGTTTTAGTCAAATATTCCTTAATTTTTTATTTGGCGTTGCATTTTAATTTACGAATTGTTTTCGATTTAATAAAGTATATTTAATTTTTCCAAGTCGGTGTTAATTTATTTTTTCTCTTTATTTATTCTAACTTTTGCCAATTCCTGAATTATGCACTTAATTTTTGATAGGTAATATGTAAAGTTGAAATTTCATTTTTACACTATGGAGCTTTCATTCTGGACTTAATAAATTTCTGAGCTTTATTTTATGGCCTGCAATTATTTGTGATGTGTATGGATGAATTATAATAATCTTCTGTTATGTAATAAACTACCGTGTGATCTGTTTTTATCCTAGCAAAATCATATATTACCCCTAAAATTACCCTAAAATTTTAAAAAACTTAGCTGCTACCCCTGAATGTTTTTTAGGATAAATTGGGTAGAAAACATGCAGCCCGTGAAATCTTCTGAACACACTGAATTTCTTTTCTTAAAAAATAAAAAATTTAAAATAAAAATAATAAAATTTAAAAATATTAAATAAATAATTAAAACATTAAGAAATGAAAAATTTTAGATTGCAAATTTGAGTCATTTTAGTTTTTAATGCGTTCAATTTGCACAGATTCTATCGTTAGTCTATTTCGTTTCTTGATCGCCTTTTCAACTGTTTTTGCTACAAAATTCTACACGACTTTAGAAAACCCAATTTTTAATACGGTATTACGATGCATGAATTTTGAATTTGAGTAATCACTTTTCACAATATATATGTATACATATATATATTTGCTAAAAGGGAAAATTTCTTTTTTTTTTTTTTTNTTTTTTTTTTTTTTTTTTTTTTTTTTTTTTTTTTTTTTTTTTTTTTTTTTTGAGAAATTATTTTTTAAATGGATTCTATTAAAAGTATTTAATTTTCTGCAAATATACAAATTTTTTTTATATAAAAAATTAGTGCCTGAACACTAACATTTATATAAAAATTATCATATTTGCCCCCAACTTGACTGCATGGATCATGGTATATGACAATTAAGTTATTTAATAAAATTTTAGTCTTATTTTTGTTCTTATTTAGGCAACTATTTTCGTAGTTTTCGGCAACTATTTTCATGCTCTAGGCTACTAAAAGCAACTATTTTGTTCATTTTTTTTTTCTGTGGCAACCTTGTTCTAGGCATACCCCTGGATTTTTCCTAATTTTAAATTGACTACTTTTGTTGAACAAAAATGCCGTCTATGTCATTAAATGGTTGAAAAGTTATTGTCGTTACAAATTTCACCCAAGTCAAAACTCTAGAAAGGTTAAAAGTTTTCTTGAAAAATGGAATTTTAATAACTTCATAATTGAAGAATGAACTGTTTTTTTTTGTGTAATTATTTATATTGCGAATTCTAAAAGAAAAACCGGATAACTACTGATGAAGTAGTTGAAAATTTTATAAAAACATCCAAATATCTGTAAAAAGTATATAATTTGTGTTTTATGTACTTCTGTCATTATTCCTTTGTGAAGAAGATTTCTTTCTCTAAAAATGTTCACCTGTATGTTTTCAAAGATCAATATTTGCAGAAATATTGTGTATTCTGAAACTAAAAAATTTTTTTCAGCTTAGACATTTAAGCTTGTTTAAAGCTTTTGTTTCATGTTACTGGAAAATTTATAGTTTATAAATATTTACCAATTGTTAATAGAATACTTAAAGCAACTGAATAAATCTATTTTTATATTATTTGATGCAAAAGCTTTTCCTTTCCAATATTTTTTTCGCAAATTTGTATTTGTAATTACTATTCTCTTTTACTCAATTTTGAATGCTATATTTGAATTTATATTTATTTATACATTAAAATTTTAGATTACACCCTTACATTGTGCAGCCATTAATCCAAACCCTCAATACTTTTCTGCTCTACTTACATCAGTGCCAGAGTATAATGTTACAGATGATAATGGTTGGAGACCTATACATTACGCTGCTGTATGCAAAAGTACTGGTCCTTTAGAACTACTTATTGCCAGGTATTGTATTATTTTGTTTATTATCTTTTATACCTGTTAACACTCATTAAATAAATCATGTAACTGAACAAAATGCATATTACTTTACTTAAATCTATTATTACTGTTAATTTAAAAGTTAAACTTTCTGTTTGTTCTATTACTACTGGTTTAGTATCATATGATTATAGAAACTCAATGATTTATCTTTGTGCATTTTTTGAATATTCTTGCTGAAAAATTTTCTTTATATATGTCCCAATTATTTGCTATGTAGTATATTTTTAACAATATTGCATTGTGAATTTAACTTTAAAGATTTTTTTTTATTATTGAGATTACAATGTTATACCAATAGCGAATTGTAAATAAAGAAGAAAGCAATGAAAATTATGGGGGGAAAATGAAACATATAATAATGACAACTGAAGCTAACGTCATCAGGGGGTAGCAGCCCTGGAAGTCATAAAAATACAAAACCTTTTTTGTTGAGAGAGCACAACAAATGTCTAAAATTTGCTCTCTCTGCACCCCAAAAGCTTTGCAAGAAGTTCAGGAAAAGAAATTACAAAAGTATAATACATTTTAATTTCTTTTTAATAAGGCTAGATCGAGACTTAACTGAGTTTGCCCAGTTTCTGCTAACAGATGGCAACAACTTTCTTACTTTCCTTTTTTTTCTTCTTTCTGTACATTAAGTAGGGGCGTGGTGTTTATTTGTGAATTTCAGTTTGGCTTGGGGTTTTCTGAATGTGGTGTGCTTTTGTTTTGGCAAAGGAATTTATTTTTAAGTAGATTTTTTGAAAATTATTTTTCCTGTTGTAATTAATTTATGTAGTTTACTTTTGTATATTGTTTTTGTATTCTCTTTTCCTGGACTTCTACCAAAGTTTTTGGGTTTCAGAGAGAGCAAATTTTAGACATTTGTCATGTTCTCTTGATAGAAAAGGTTTTGCATTTTTGTGACTTTCAGTGTTGGTACCCCCTGACGACATCAGCTTCGGTTGTCATTAATAATTTTCTCTGGAATTTCTGCTGCATTGTGCAATTTTCCTCAAAAATTGTTGTTTTAGCTGTTTTTTACATGATTTTTGATTTCTCTTCTTGTGATTAAAGTTATACCAAAGCTGAATTCTGAGAATTTATTTGTTTTCTAAATTATGTTTTTGTTCGCATTTTCAAGTAATTTAAAATGCTAAAAATTCTAAAAATATTTTTTTTCTAGTGTCAAATATTATTTAGATTTCTTTTATCAGTCTTCTTATTTACAGAGTTAAGTTTTATTCGAATAATTTTTAGAGCTTGTTATTTCAATTCAGTCTTAACTTTTTTTTAATTTCAAATTTCATAAGTTGGCCAGCCGTTTTCTGATATTTTTCTAAAAAAATTCTCACCAAATGAAGCTTTTATAATTCATTATAGACTTACTTATGAGAAACTTATTTGGTTATTCTGTTACAGAGGTGTTTCTTTGGATGAAGCAGAATCTGATGGTAACACTCCACTTCTTCTAGCTGCACGTACTGGACGAGCACATAATGTTGATTTAATTTTGAAACACTTAATATTCTCAGGTATTTTAGTTTTTCCAAATATAATATTGATATACTCAGTTTGGTTAATGTACACTAATTTGTAAATAAATGCTGTCATTTAAAAAAGTCTTGCCTTATAAGATGGTTAAAATTTTGATCATATTAAACTTTCATTTTTTTTAGAGCACAACAAGAAAGAAACTGCAATAACTGTATCATTACAAGATAAACAGTGTGTAAATGCTGTTGATAAAGGAAATAAAAAATCATACACTGCACTACACATAGCTTGCGAATATGGACGAATTGTGAGTGTTCCTTTTAAAATGAATTTTTTTTAATATTTATTTTGATTGTGTTAGATGTTCATATGAATATTTCTTAAAAAATATTATGCTTTAAATTCAGGGTGTAGAGCATTTTTAAAATGTACTTAAAAATGTTTATTTTCGTTTTTTAAAAGCCCTTAAAGTTGCTTTTTTCATTGGATATTTTTAAAAAGCACTTAATTTTCCTTATTACATATAAAATTTTCAGTTCTCTTAACACTTTCATTGCGGCAATGATGCGCCTTTCTCATACCCTCTGCGCTTCCCCTACAGCACTAAAATTGTAACAAAATGCAAATTCCTTTAAACTTGTTTATTTTACTTTAAAAAATAATAATAAATTGCTATCAATTTGTTCACTAATACAACTATAGAGCATAGAGAATATTCCTGGAAAACAGTTATCTCGTCCGTCACAATGAAGTGCTTAAGTTATTTTTAGAGACAAGATTTTTAAAAAAAGTATGAAGTGAGTAGCTTTCCCTATTTTAAATTCTGCCAAAAATCTTATGTTAATTAGATTTGTCATTCGAAAAAACTTTAATTCATCTTTTAGTGATTTGATCTATAAACAATTGAAATAAAAAATTCAAATATCGCAGATTGCCCTCTTCGTGCCCTTGTTCCACAGGGCCACTGTCTAATCCTCGGGGCCAAGCAAGGTTGACTCCAGCTTTCATCTCTTCAGTGAGTCGATAAAATTAGTACCAAGCACCCTTAGGGCAAAGAATATGTAAGTGAGAAGAAGACCAGCTCTCATAGGCCCCCATGTAAACCTGTTCCGGAGGCAATGGTTACCTCCATCAAGGTGGGGAAGTATTGCTAGGAAAACAACCTGCCTCCTTACAGAGGGTCCCTCCATCCTTACCCCTTAAGCAACCCCATTCCTCTCCGCTCCCTACAAACACCTTTCTCCTTGTCTCCCCCCTCCCCACTCATGTAAACAGCTAATGAAAAGTGACTCAAACCCCGTCTGCTTTTGTTCTTTACAGACTTATATGGTTTTGAAAAAGGTTTACTTATTAAACAAGGAAAATATTTACTTGTGACGAATTCATTAAAAGATAAAGGTAATTTATTATTTTAACATAGATGTATAATTTAAATAGATATCCGTCACTTAAAGATGTCACTTTAAACAGTTTAGTCACTTTAAAGATGGCGAAAAATTTGTTGTTAAACAAGTTTAGAGGCGCAATGATGGATGAAAGATGTACGCATGCGTCGGCTCAAAAAACTTTGGCGCTTTTCTTGTCATACAGAGGGACCTTGCTGGCCCCTGCTACGTATCGGAGAAGCTAGACTTCTTCTCACATTACATATTCTTTGCTTAGGGGCTAAACACTGAGGGTTCTGTATTTGGCTGACCACTCATTCAGAACATCTGCTCTTGCACTCCCAGGGCCCAAGGTCTAGTAAACTGAGATGGGCACAGTAGGCCTTGGCCCTCCATGGGCTGTCGCACCACTGAGTTTTTGGTGTTACTCATAAAGTTTTATTAATGGGGATAATATTTCAGTATAAAAGTATTACGTAGTTATCCTGAAGTTAAAGATCAAAACGAGGAATGTAATTGAAAAATTTCATGGTTAAAAATGCTATTTACACTATAGTTAAAATATAATTGTAAAATAATCAATTTCTACAATTCATTCGGAAGGTGCTTGCGCTAATTTAAAAATTAAATTAATTTGAACCTTTTGTTTATTATTGCAACTAGGAGACCAGAATAATAGACTTCTGTATGCTAATTGCCTAATTCAAAAGTTAATGCAGCAGGCTTCTTTGATTCCTTTTAATATCTGACTATCTAATAAACTAGATACAGGACAATAATTCTGTTTAAACTCTCAAATAAAATTTTAATAATTTATGTATATATTCTTTCACATTGTTTTTTGGTATAATAAATAGTCAGCATACTGACTAGTAATTTTGTATTTTCAGTTTTATGTATTTTTGCCTTTTCTATTTCTGATAAATTAAAAAATTTTGAGGCTTTAACTTTTTCTCTCTCAATTGAAATACACTAAAAAATTATTTTTAACTATGAATTGTAACATATGAACTTTATATTTATTGCCTGTGTAAATCAACATGTAAAATATTTATTGTAAAACCTAATTTCTTCAATAATTTTTGATTTTTAATGAAATGATTCCTTTCTTTTAGGATGTTGTGCGTGTATTAATACGACATAAAGCAAACGTTGATAAAATGACTAATGCTCAACATGATAAGTTGACACCACTAATGCTTGCCTCTCAGAAAGGACATTTGGATATAGTAAGCTTATTAATTGAACATTCAGCTCAAGTCGAAATGAAAGGTAAAAATAATTTTTTTATATATTAAAAATTTTTCCATTTTTAAAATTTGTTAACATATTTTGCTCTTCCAGATAAAAAACAAAGAACTGCTTTGACCCATGCAATCATAAATGGACATGCTCATGTAACATCATATTTGTTACGTCTTGGTGCTAATCCTAATTCTACAGATTCATCTGGAAATACACTGGTTCATTACGCTGCTGCTTATGGTTGGTACTTTTGCATGAAACTCCTGATTGAAGCTGGCGCCAGTTTAAATCTTCCAAACGATTGGAAAGTAAGGCTCATATTGATTATTCTATATCAATGACAGATAAGTTTTTAACTGCACTTTTTTTTAGACATATCTAGTTGTTTTCAACCTTCTCTATTGTAAATTAATGGTGTATGTATTTCTTGCAGGGAAAATGTTTTGTTTATGTATCTTCTCTTTGAAGGCTACAATTTGACTAATTTACTGTTTATGTATTTAATGATATTGTTGTGTTAATTGTTCTGTCACAATTTTTTAGACAGACATTTTCTGAATTGTTAACTTCAATGATTTTGTTGAAGCCTTTCCTTTTGTGAGTCGAACTCTTGAGGGAATCTTTACTTGTTTGTTTACCAAAATTGTGTGCCAATGTCAATGGTTTAGGTGTTCCATAATAGTGACACTAGCTAGAGGTGCCAGCTTGAGTTGATGTGCAAAAGTTGCTTCAACAGATACAGTAAAACTTTTTTTAACATGTCTAGAAAAAAAATTGGTGTAGGATGAATAATTTTTAATATTTTTCTTACAAATATGTCAAATCTATCGGTTTTCAATCAAAACAATGTTATTGACTGAAAATAATCATAATGGATGTTTGATTACTTTAACGTTACCTATGACGTGATTGTTTTCGTTTCTGATTAGCCTGATTTTGATAATAAGGTCTTGTTTTTCTTTTTCTCTTAAATATTCTGCTACTCCTTCAAATATATAAGTCCTAATATTGACCATTTAGGAAAAGATGGTATTAAAAATAAATCAAGAGTGACAATTACGAATATATTTTGTACAAGCTTCCTCTTTTTAAAATCTATTTGCTAGTTTTTTTATTCATAGCATTTTATTAACTTGTAATTGACATAGTACACATAATGACATAATTTTTTCCTCACATCATTAAAAGAAATGCTTTTAAATACTAATATTTTCCTTGTGGCTTCTCAAGGAAAATTAGAGAGCTCACATTTTGAAACCTCTTACAGATATTAAAAAGGACACAAATTTTTATTTTGTCATGGGTGCACTACAGGCTAGTTGCTCCACTGACCAATGCAAGATTGAAGTACATAATTAAGTTTGTGGGCCGTGAAGACTTTTAAAGATTTCTTCTTCCAGAGCAGGAATTTTTGTTGTCTTATTCTTGGAAGTTCAAGCAATAAGAATTAAGAAAAATCTTAAGTTGACATGTGCTATTAAATCATGAAACTAATGTAAATTTTTAAAGCTGTATATTTTTTTTACTTATTTAACTAACTGGAAGTTGTATTTAATAGTAGAAAATTTATAACATTAAATAAATGTGTTAATGCATTGTTTTAAATTATTGCACAATACATTTAGTTATTATTCTTGTGTTGAAATTTTTTATGAAAAAATGATCTGAAATATCAACCTTGTTTTAATTTTAATCCAAATAAAGCCTCTATACCAATGAGATATAGCAATAAATATCATTAATGCTTTTTTTTTCTTGTCCTGTCTATTTCAATGTTAAATATTTCCAAAAATTGATAAGATAAGTTTTGCATGAGAACTTAAGTGTCCTTGTAAATGGTCAACCCCTACCCCTATGAGACAATTGCATTCATCTTCTATGAATAATGTTATATTTAATGTGAACATTGATACATTAAATGTATCCAATAAAAGTATTTAAATGCAATTCATTCTTGAAACATTCTATTCAGTTAAAGACTAAATAAATTATTTTTTATTAAATTTTGCATATTTTATTTTGTTTGAAATGCTATCTATTGTCAATCAGGAGGCTTTAAAATATTGTGTATAAACATATAACTTTTCTCCCATAGATTACTCCTCTTAGTTTGGCTTTTATGAAAGGGCATATGGGATTAGTGGATTTCCTAGTGGAGCAACCTGGCATTGATATTAATGTTGATGTTAATAATGAAAGCGGTAATTTTTTTAACTATTTTTATTGAAATTGATTCAAAAAAGTGATTCCTTATAATTTTATTTTGAAGCTGTATGTCTATAATCAAGTTACTTTCTCCTCCATAAAATCCAATTACTTTTTTATATGTTATATCTAGATAATTGTTTTCTTGTTATCAATAAAGTAATATGCTAATCTTTTTTTTTCTCTCCCCCGTCCAGGAATGACATTAGTCATGCAAGCTTTAAGATCGAAAATAAATCACTCAATGCTGGAAAGGATACATTTCCTAGTTGTCAAACAGAAATCAGATTGTACTAAATTGGATTTTATGGGCAATAATGCTGTAAGTATTGTTTATATTTAAAAAAAAATCTGCCATGAGAATAAATATTGACAGTATTTCACTTAAATATAAGGATGCAACTGATAAAAAAAAAATTTAGAAATTTCAATTTTTACCTGTTTTGCCAAAACATAAGTCTTTTTATTGATGAGCATTAAAAAATTTTGTCTTTTATCTATATAAATTTTTTACCTAGAAAACAGCATGGAAAAAGCCTTAATTTCTGTTATAATATTGAAATTGTTCTATGTTGAATTCAAACTTAACAAATACAAAATTACAAAGTTAAAGTAAGTTTAGTATTTTGGTTTGCTAAAATATTGTATGAATTACAACCGAACCAGCTTTATGATAAAAAAAAGTTCTATGTCCCTTAGAAACTTAAAAAATATAATTTACAATACTATTTGATAGGATTTAAAGTATTGCTCCATCATGCTTTTTTAAAATTTAGATAACATAAAACTATCTACCTTAAATAATCTTAAGTATATGTTTCGAATGAAAAAATTAGCTTTGTAAACTAAAACAATTTCATCTTAAGGTTTTAATATTCATTTTTGAAAATTTCAGATTTTAAATACCTTTTGTTCACTTTATCAATGTGCAATTTTATTAACCAGATTTACTAGCTTCTTGATGCTAGTAAAATTAGAATTGTATTTTTCTTATGATTTGTCTATGTGGACAATAATTTTGTCCCTACTTGTACTTTTAATTTCAATATTTTAAATATCAGGATTTAATTCAAATTTTACTGGAAAAAAAACTAAATTTTAACAATTCATTTTTCATTATTTTAAAATTTTTTATTTCCGATTATTTAGTTTCATCACCTGGTTCTTGCGGAGGTAGCAGAGGTGATCATTGAAACAAAGGTTTGTACATAATAATTTAATTAGCTAGTAAATGCTCTGCTGTGGCTGTATGTGCATATCATCTAGGTTCATCCTGTATTTATTTCATTATATAACTAAGCATTGTAAGGTTCAGTAATTGGCCATTTGGCTCAATATATAGCTTTGAAAACTTTCTATTTTTCTAAATGAAGTAATTTTTTAAGCAGCAGAGCTTTTTGAAATGCTTAAAAAGTAATTCTAAAATTAAATTAAATATGCCACCTTCATGTGTGTGCCACCTATGTTGTCATTCCAATATGTTTGTGTGTGAACTAATTTTTTCTATTTAGAACCTGAACCAATTGAGAGCTAATAGTATCACATACTATTTTTCAGATCGGGAAAAGCTGATAATTCGATTATTTCATTCTGAAAATTAATAATGAAATTTATTATTATCAGAAACAATATTTGAATTCTCTATAGTTTATTGATAATATCAATATTTATATTTTGTTCTGATCAAAAAATTTTGAAACTTAAATGGCTGCCAGCAGAAAATTTATTATACACAAATAATGCCTCAGGCGAAAACCGTAGCAGGTTAAATATGGATTTGAGAAACTTATAAAAATGCAAGTGTAGTTTCATCCTTTACATAAATAATGTTTAATAATATTTGCATACTCGTCTTAAAATTCTAGTATAATCTTTTTATTAAAATTAAACACCTGCCAAAAACGTTTGCTTGGTTTGCCAAAAGAAGTGCAACAAGCTATCCTTTAAAAGGAAATAATGCTATCCAATTAATTAAAAAGAATTCTTTCTTCATCCTAATTGACACTGAAAGAAAAATTACAAACAAGTATAAAAAAATAATCATTTTATGATTTTCTAAAATGTTATAAATATTTAAATGTCTATCACAAAGATATATGCTTAAGGCTATTAACATTTTAAATGAAAATTCAAGATCTGTGACTGTATTTAGTTGTAGTAGGCAAATTTTTCTGCTCTTAAGTAATATGCTAAACATTTTTTCATGCAGGCGCAAATTTTTTATTCGCAAAATATGTGCACTGAGGTGACAAAAGCCATGAGATAGCAAATGCTAGTATACATATGGCAGTAGTATCACATACTTATGTTCAAGTTATTCATCTGAGAATGTTTCTAATGTAATTATGACAGTAAGACAAGTATCAATAGACTTTGAACATGGAATGGTAGATGGAGTCAGATGAATGGGACATTCCATTATGAAAATTAGGAGGAAATTAAACATTCAAACTACAGTGTCAAGAGTGGGCCAAGAATACTTAATTTCAGGCATAAGCTCCCACTATGGACAGCATAGTGGCCAACCGCCTGCAACTTTTTAAAATCTTGCCGAGTTGGCAATTTTTACTGGGATCAACGATTTTTGGTTAATGATGAAAATAAAACAATTTTTAACCAGTACCGCACAAAGAAAAATTAAAAAATGACGTAATAATGGGTTATAAGTTAAATTACGGTTAGAAAATTGAGTAATAACGATGATTCAAGCAAGAGATCAGAAGCATAAATAGCTAATAAATAAACGCTTTTTCCTCTTTTCTAACGAAATCCGACTCTCGTGTAAGTATACATATCAAAAACCAATCAGGTTAAAGAATTTTGGTGGTGATCGGACGTTCAAAATAATCTACCCGAAATATCTTCCGGAAACCTAGTTTGGCGAGATTTCAGAACATCGCCACAGCGTGGGTTATTCTAGGATCCACCTGTTGATGTTAACAGACTAGTAACATTGCTGGAAATAACCTAAAGCATTAATGCGTGCATATCCGTTAGGACTGTAATCTATGGCAACAGAAGACCAACTAAAGTGCCTTTACTAACAGCGCAATATCACATCCAGCATGCCTCCTGTGTTTGTGATCTTGGTTGCATACTATACAACTGGAAAGCTGTAGCTGGGTCAGTTTTCTAGTTCCACTCGATCTCTCCCGTCAACTGGTCGTAACTGATGAAAGAGTTCTAGCGTGTCTCTGACCCCACGGAAAAATTGATCCAAGTTATCAACAAGATACTGTGTAATATGGTGGTTGCTCTATAATGGTGAGGGCTGCCATGAACTGGGTCCTATAGTCTGATTGCACTGACCATTTACTAATAATGGCTATGTTCAGCTACTTGGAGACCACTTGCAGCCATTCATAAACTTCATGTACCCAAACAACAATTGGATATTTGTGGATTTGTACATCATGCCACTGTGACTAGTTTGAGGAACTTTCTGGACATTTCCAGCAAATCATTTTGCCACCTATTTGTTCAGTATAAATCCCATGGAAAAATTGCAGAATATAACCGAGAGGTTAGTTAGTGCACGAAATCAAGCACCCGCATCTTTCAAATTATTATAAGCATCTATTGAGACTGAATATTCTTGCAAGAGACTTCCAACAACTTGTTAAATCCATGCCATATCAAGTTGCTGCATTTCGTAGGGCCAATCATTGAATAGGTATCCCATGATTTTTGTCACAGCAGTTCATATCACATAAGAATAAATGTCTTATGTTAAAGATAGGAAAGTTTTATTTGCAGGCCATCTGCAATGATTAATTTTTACAAAAGAATATCTCATTTGAAATTATTTTAACCATCCTTTATTTTCTAATACATTCATTTATTTATAATTTTCACCTTATTTATAGTAATGCTGTGTTAATTTCTTTGATTTTGGAGGCAAACCCTTTTTTGCATATTTTTTCGTAAAGTTATTAATTCTGAAGGAAAATATTATAAAGTTTTTATAATTTATTTTTTTAAAAATCTTTTTGGTATTATTATAATTCTAATAAATAATGTCAGTTAAATGTTAATTTTCTCTTTAATTCCATTATGAAAATTATGCTAAATTTTCTTGGTTTCTTCAGAAAAGCGGTGCTACAGGATTGCATCATTATAATGGTGTAAATTTACTATTAATTTGTGTTTGTTTCTATTCAATGGGAGTTTTTGTATGCCTCTTTGCCCCTGAAATTTGCACCTGATGTTTTGAAAAGTGCAGTATTTAAAAAATTCACCTAAGTATTCTTTTGAAAATATAATTAAATTTGAAATGCTTTTTCTGTTATGATTTTCAATGTTTTGCATCATAATTGTTTCTATTTTTATTAAATGCTGCAGTTAATTTGATATCCCATGGTTCTTGTTGGCTTCTGATTCACTTTCAACTTTTTCAGTTCAATGAGGGTTTTTTTTTTTTTAATGTTTATTTGCCAAGCATGTGCTATTTCATCATTTTTATTGATTTTAGTAACTTTTGTTGATATTATTAATTTTTGATTAAACAAAGGTTTTACTTTTCATTAAATATCTGTGCCTGGAATTTTAAATTAAAGTAATAGTAAGCTGGGTCGCTTTTTAACACCTGATAAAGAGTAAATTATCTTCCTAATTTTTGATATGTTTTAGTTTTATTTATTTCTGTCAATTAATATGCAAATAAATATTAATTTTTTTTTTCTTTTTTTACAATTAAACTTTTTTGTTCTTCATGCATTAGTTTATTAATATAAACCTATTATAGTAAAATAAATTTATAAAATCTATTACTAGTCTCATGTGAAATTTTTTTTATAGCTATTATTTCTATTAAGAACGAATTACAAGATATTTTAGAGGAACTTTATATAAAACCACTGATGTACTAATGTTTGTAATGAAATTAGTTCAATTGTTTCCTTATAAATTAAAAATTTTATGTAGTGTTCATGATTATAGTAAAATCATTTTTTTTTNAATAAATTTATAAAATCTATTACTAGTTTCATGTGAAATTTTTTTTATAGCTATTATTTCTATTATGAACAAATTACAAGATATTTTAGAGGAACTTTATATAAAACCACTGATGTACTAATGTTTGTAATGAAATTAGTTCAATTGTTTCCTTATAAATTAAAAATTTTATGTAGTGTTCATGATTATAGTAAAATAATTTTTATTTATTTATTTTTTTCCCTTCAAATTTTAAGAATTATAATACCTTGTGTTTATGATCTTTCTTGAACTGCCTCTTTATATTTTTAAATAATTAAGAAGACTTAACTAGTTATTTTTTCCCCTCTTTAATGTAAGATTTTGTCAATAAGAAGTCTGTGTTTGTCTTATGTTTTTATAATGGTGTTTCATATTATATGTTTTGTGAATTTTTTTATTTTTTTTTATTATTATTTATTTTTGGTCTACTTTCCCAAACCTTTAATTAAATATCATACTTGGTGTAAGCTATTATTATGTTCTTTAAATAGGAAGTATGAGATATAAATTTATGTTTTCATATTATTTGTGTTCCATTTGGTTTAATTTTACTGAACCTTCCAATTCATTATCATTGAAATCATAATCATCGCACACTCATCTAAATACATTTTCCCCACCTACCTCTTTGCATTGCACTGCCTTCATCCAATATACCCTGCATATCTCACTTGCCTCACAAAGATGGAGTTAAATGGAGACAGAAGTGATGATGATTCCAGTGAAGACCTTGAGAATGAGTCAAAGATAACTGCCAAAACAGAAGAAAAACAGTTATTTAAGGAAGAAGTAGGTGTTCATTTTTAAATCGTTGTGAATCCTCCTCATTTCATTATCATTATTTGTAGATGTCTGTTTCTGGTGAATGTCCTTTGCTTCTGGCTTGCTTGCACTGTACCTGCCTTCTCATTTTTTTTAAATTAACATTTTAGATTACCACATGAATTATTTTCTTGCATGTGTTACATGTGTTTTGGAAACTACTTTAAGCATGTCTGAAACTGTTTCTAGAGTTGAATGTTACCTATCATTGCATTAATAAAAAGTAAAACAAAATATTGCTTCGTGAGAAAAAAATTAAAATTGTACTTTGAATTTTAGATCTGAATATAATTAAAAGTATCCGAAGAATACTCTATATAATGGGATAATTCATGACATTTCTAGAATAGTCAGGAAACATTTATTACATATCGTGATAGTTTATTATATTTATTACAAACATTAACATATGGTGAATAAAAGTTGCCTTGTGGCATAGTTATAAATATTTTGTTCTTTAATAAAAATTTATGTTAAAATAAAATAAAACAATCCTGACTTAATTACAGTGTAAGATAATAAAGTAATAAATTCCGGAAATTATACTTTATCTGAAAAAGTTGTGTTGTTTATCTTGTGCAACATTGCTTATGTGAGCTCTTTCAATCTGTCAGGTTTAAATTATTTTCGATACATGCATGCGTTTTGTTGGCCCTTGTGTGAAAGCACATCTATGCTTATGTTCAATACATTATACTCATTGTGAGATTTATCATGAGGCTGTTTCTAATTTTGTTCTAGTTAAACGCTTTTGGAAAATATTTTCTGAGATAACTGTCAAAGTTAACCAATGTTTTATTGTTGTTGTCACAAAGCAATAATTGCAAAGAAATATATTTAAATTTAAGTAGTAAGAAAAAATGTAATTTAGGGTTACACATGCATACACTATATACAAATATTTTCATACATATTTCTTTTCAGTTAGGCTGTTTTGCATTCAGTTAGGAATCTACTATATTTAATACTCACTCTGAAGAAGTCTAAAAAACATCCTCATTTTTAGTCCTTAAGCAGCAATTATTTTATTGTGTTTAATTTTTATAAATAAATGTAGGAAAGCAAAAAACTTAATAGTTCCCTTGTGAGTGATTTTAAGGAAACTTTTGAAAAAAAGACAGGTGATATACAATAATGTATTCAGATTTTAAAGGAGAGAAATCCTCATATTCTTCATACTTTTCTGTAGTGCAGTATGTTTGTATAAAACTCTTTAATAGTTATTAACTGGGTTTTTTATTTCTAATCTGCATCGTACAAGTACTTATCAATTTCTGTATTTTCCAATAGAGATTAAATTTTTATTTAAATAAGATAATAATTTTTAAAAAATCACAGTAATTCTTTATCAAATTTTGTTGTTAAAAGTTTTATATCTTAATTTGAATTATACCCTCAAGTTTTGAAACTAAGGTTATTGATACATTATCTTTTTGTATTAATGCAAGCAATGAAATAGTATTCCATTTAATCGATGAATATATGATTTAAGTTATATGATTTAGCACATTATTTAGTTTCATTTATCCTTTTGTTTGCGTTTGAACAACAGGTGTCCCATAATAGCAGGATTTGGCCTACTGTGTGCCATATCCAAAACGTTAATTTTTTACAACATATGTTTTTGGGATTTTACACGGTTATATAGGTGTTTCCTTTTATATGGATTATTCATATTGTACCATGTTGCATGATTAAGAACTTCCTTTTCTCACCAATGTTTGTTGTTGCATAGGTATCAAGTTGTACTTAAACCTGGAAGTGGGTCACGTTTAATTCCTGTTCTTTTCTTATCATTTGATCATATTTTTTATTAATAAATTATTATGAATTTTTTATATCATTGTTATTAAACTTTTTCACTCAGAAATAATTAATGCAAGTATTAATTCAGAAAAAAAGTTGTTAAACTGACATTTTTAAACATTACCTAACTTCTCAATTAAACACATTAGATTGGCAAGTACAAAATGATAGTACAAAGTATTTTAAATAATTTAGCAAATATAAGATTTTAAGTTCAATGGGCAGTACAAAATATTTAAATTACTTAGCCAATATAAATTATCGGCATTTGAGTGTATTTACTAATATAGTTTGTTGCATAAAATTCAAAATTTCTATTGGGTTAAAGTGCATGCCTACATTATTCAAATTCTGCAAATGATCCTAAGATGTGTATTTATAATGTTTTGCATGCACTGTTATTCACCTAAATCATGTTATATATTATAAGCAATGCACATGTGTTAATCCCTAAATATCATTTTGCAATTCTTATCTGCACAAAATTTATAGATGAATTTTTATCATACAATCTTATTGTGGCGTCACTTTTATGATAAAGGTTTTATGTACTCGTGTCATATAGTAATTCCAAACTAAAAATTTAATTTTGTAAATAAGACAGATTAATTTTTGATAGAAAGTATTCTTTGTCGTGTGTTACTTATATTATGATGTAATCAGAATACCACTTTCTTATGCTAGTTATCATGTTCTGATTTACCTGAGTCTTTAATATTAGACATGAGTTAAATATTTTTTTTAAAAGTTACTTTACCTGATTTGTTGCTTAAAGACATTTATTTTTTAAAAAAAATGCGTATTAGTTTTGTTAGAAACATAGTGTGTTTTTATTTATTGATTTGGTTTCAGTTTAATTTTTACTAGTTGAATAACGTTTATTAAATTCAAATATCACTTTATAAATAATAATGATATTAATCTTACTAAACTTTCATATAAAAAATTTCAAACTTGTAACTTGAATGTAAAATATAAAATCTTTATGATTTATAATCTTCAGTTTTAAAGACTAGTATAGCTCTTACATTACTAACTTAGATTGACATAAAACTCTTCAAAAATGTCATCTCATAGTATACATTTTATTATAGTATACATTTTATTTATATGTTTTCTCATAGTATACATTTTATTACAGTAAGTTTACTTTAATAATTACTTCCTTTATTAAAATAAATTTAATAAAAAAAAGGTAAATAACACACATACTATTTTTTTCAAACTTATTAGCAAATTTGAAATTTGCCATGGGAAATCAGTTCTTATTAAAAAAAAGTTTCATGAAATAAAATTATATATTGCATATGTATAAACACATGCATTACAACTCTGCTAATTTGACATTTCATGTAATTTAACTATATTGTCTGTTTTAAAATTACAATTAATTACATTTTAAAAATATTTACATACAAAATGTGCAAAGACTACTTTTTTATGTAAAAAAATTATTTTCCAGTATTCAAAATCATATATATATATATCATTTTACATTGACTATTATCAACTATTTCAGAATCCTTTACTAAGTACTTTTCATTTCAAATCATTTTATTTTGATCGATCAGTACCAGGACTGAGTGATGTAAGAAATTTTATATCGTCTGTTAGACATCGCGATATAGCGAGGTATCACAATTTAACATAGATTCGAAAACTATCTATCAGAAATCTTTAAATCAATCAAAAATAAATAAAAAGAATAAATCTATTACAAAAGAAAATGTTAATTATAAATAAATGCTTCTATAACACCAATAGCATTGCTTGATTTTTTTTCAATTAAAATAATGAAGAAGGATTGACTTGAAGCCAATGTTAAAGTAAAAACAAACACAATCTATATTTTAATTTTTTTTTTAATTAAAAATGTCTTAAGATTTTTTGGCTTAAAAATTACAATTAAACTGTAATAAAATATTTTACATATGTGCATTAAAAATTGAAAGAATCAAAATCGAAAATAAAAAACAAACCAAAAAAATGTTTATAAATGGTCAAATTCTGTACCTAAGAAATATAAGTTTTTTTTAATTATTATTATTTTCTTTTTTTGAAAATAGAATAGACTTAAGATTTATTGGTTTAAAAATGATACTGACTATCAAACGAACACAAATTTAAAGAATTTTAAGAAATATTTTGAAAAAAATGCTTTAAGTTATGTAAGTAAAAGAAATACTTCAGTTATTAAAAGGGGTTAAAACATTGCTTAACTTTTTATTTAACTAAAAAAATTTAGCCGTTTTAACTAACAGCAATTTTTTTTTTTAAATAGTGCAAATTTTGCTTTAATCTTTTTTATAATTAATAACTACTGAAGATTTATTGGTTTTAAAATAATCAAATTCCATCAAATTATTATACTTATGTGCATCAATAAATTTTAAAAAAGCTAACTTTTTATAACTAAGTATATATTACTTAAATACAAAATACCCCTATTAAATTGTATTGCTTAAAATGAAAAGCAATAATTTAAAAAAAAATCGATGAAGAATCTTTTTTTTAACATTTTATTATCATCAATAGATTGGGTTCAGAATGAAAATTTAAGATAGCAGCGATCTCAAAGTAACCGTAGGTTTGCTAAATATAATTGACAAGACTCGTTAAATCCCGACAGACAAAATAAAAGTTGCGAATTAATGCATAATGATTGCTAAGTAGCAAAGGTCTCTCGGAAAATAATTTTCAAGTAACATAAGATCCCAAAGACAAAAATGGTACATAAAGAAACTATGCATTGAGTTCTATATTTCAACACTGATCCTCGCACAAAACCACGAGTTCTGATTCAACTCACTCTTTGTCATTCAACATTACAAAGCTAACATTGTCTTCGTAGCTAGACGCAATCAACATCTTCCTTGCTAGACAAAATCAAATTAGTCTTCGTCAGTGCAGTGGCAGCGTTACCGTATGCGCGGATCCTCGCATGTTAAACCGCGAGCGTCATCTTATACTGGTGGCTTAAACCAGATTTCTAATGCATCATATAAAGCAAAAGGCACTATATTGGCCTGCTGATACATGCGTTAAATCGATATTTCCCAATACATCGATTTATTGCCCAGTCCCAATCGGTAGTTTGAATAATCTGAAAAGGTGCTGATTCCAATTAATTCAGATTAGGAGGTTTCTATTGTATTTCTGGAATTTTTTTAAGAAGTTAATGACTGATTAAAATTTTAAATCCAAAATGTAGACACTAATATCTTTGATGGAATGGATCAAAGATATCAGCACTGAGATAAATATTTTTTAAAATATTGCATCATTTGTATGTATAGTTCTGATGTACATTATAAAGAATACTTAACATATTATTTTGTTCATTCAAGTGTTAATCAGGATTAAATCCCGTAGCAACAATTTTCAAATAATGAACAAAAAGTCTTTGTAATAACAAACAAATTTTCTGAAGATTTCAGAAATTAGAAGTGCTGCAAAAATAGTTAGAGTGCTATTTGAAAATCAGAGAATAAATGCTAACACCATTTCATTTATATTAAACAATAAAATTAAATAAACAATTAATTGCTACGGCTTACATATTCAAGGATAAATATATTTTCTGTTACTATCTAACCTCGCTCACCTATACTCTTGTCTGAAACAGCCAGTATCATCACATATTAATTATTTGTTTAATTGTTCTTGACAAGTTTATTTAAAGAATAATTGATTTCCCTGTCTGCTGTTCATGTAAAATTGGCACTCTATTAATAGCTCTATCTGAATGTTTTGAAATTCCCATAAATAACTACTTGTGACATTGCTGTTTTTATAATTATAATTTGTGAACTAAAGTTATACAGTATTACATTTACCTCTTCTATAGCCATGCTATAATTTCCTCATAATTCCACAAATTTGTGTGAGGTCCTTAAATTAAAATTTTTTATTGGTCAAGACATTCTCCAACACCCATAAATTTTTTCCTTGCGTATAAGTTGCTCCAAAGACAACTTTGACTTCAAAATTGAAGGTTATGTGTGTATTTGGAGTGTGAGTAGATTGTTTGACTAATACTTGTTGGCAAACAAATTATGATATGTTTCAATGAATTATATTGCAAACACAGTATACTTGAAAACACGACAGTTCATGTATTTCATGTATCAAATTTGTTTAACCAACTCTGAAGATGTATATCCAAAAAGATTTTATTTCAGTTATATAAGGGTTTTGATTGCATTATAATTTTGTTACTTTTCTTTGTAGATTGATTTTTTAACCTCAGTCCCATTTAACATTTTGAAAAAAAAAAAAGAAAAAAAAGGTGGCCACCCACTTGGAAAACCTGGAATTATCAAGGAATTTTTTCTATACTAGAAAAAACTTGGAAAAATCAGAGGAATTTTTAAAAAAGCTGAAATTTTGTTTCACCTTTCTTAATTCTACTCATTTATATTTACTAATTTTCTTAATTAAAATTATTGTACCATCCGTTATACCGACTTTTAAACGGAAATTTATTGCAAAAAAGTTGAAATACCATCAACTGAGCAATACATTGCGTGCATCAAAATTTTATCCATTATTATCCTGTTAAACTAGAATGCCATATGAAACTCTCCCATGGTTGCTAAATGAATAGAGAATCATTTGGCCTCTTAGGGAGACTATAAGACTGTGCAGTTTAATAAAGGCAAAGATTGTGGTTGAGATGAAAGAAAGGATTAGGATATTTGCTTCTATTTATAAAAGTATGTTTTTTTTCCCTTCCAGTCGGTGAGCTGAATCTATTTATTGTTCACATTTGTCCTAATGCTTTGGGGATATTTTTTTTTTTTTTTTTTACAAAATGATTCTAAATGTTTTAGTATTTTTAATTTTAATAAAATTCTTTAATATAATTCTAATGTTCAACTTTGTTATTGCTTAATTCATCTGTTCTTGATTTGTCATTTTTATTAGGCCCAACAAGAACATGATGCTCTTATACAAGAAATAACAAAATTACTTCTTGATCATGGATGTGATCCCATGGTCAAGAACAAGGAAGGTGAATCACCTTTTACTCTTGCAGTTAAAGAGGTAAATCAGCTTGCTTTTAATATATCACTCCAATATATGACTTAGAAATTATTTCATCAAAATATTTATCCTATAGGGGTGCTTACTTCTGGTAAAAATGTTCCTCGACGCTGGTTGTGAATTGAGCTTAGATGTCAGCCAAACTGGTGATAATATTCTTCATTATTTAGTAACACATGCTCGAAATAGAAAAGTGGAGCCTATGTTGCAAGCCATTTTAAATGCTGTAAGTTGTGTTCTTATTACCCTAAGACTTTTTTAATAATTTTTTAGTATCTAATGTAAATTGTGTGTATTTTATTATTTATTTTTAGAAATGCAGCAGTCCAGAATCAACTCCTCATCAATTGCTTTGTCAAATGGCAAAAATGTATAATAAGAACAGACATACACCATTACTCCAAGCTCTCCACACTGTAAAGTCTTGTGTAAGTACTGGTGTTAAATATATCTCTTCCGTCTACAAACTACTGATTTAATTTGAATTTTGTATGTAATAGATTTAATTTTTCTTCTTTTTTACTTAGCATGATGAAGAAAGTCAAACTAGACTGTTAACATTCGTGAAGGTATATATTTTTAATTTCATAGCTCTATATTTATAAGATTAAAAAATATTTATATAGTGTTTCCTAATGGGTTTAAAATATTTTTTTTAATCTAGTTTTTGTTGGATGAACTTGGGGCAGATGCATCAGCACCATGTAAAAATGAAGAAGGAAAAGGTAATAAATGATAATAATAATATTCCTTAGACTTCATTTTTAAAAGTGTATGCACATTTCTATACATATTGTTCATTTCTGCCATTTAGTCTCTATATTAAAAAATCAAAATGTTAGCTGATACTGTTTGGGTGTTAAGCTTAATGTAACTTTTTGTTTTGCTGTGCAATAACTATAAGACTTAGAAACTGGAAATTGCTGAGGTGTGCGGAAAATTATGCAGGAATTATCATGGAATAAAAAAAATTATCATTCAATAATTTGTTGAAAAAATACCATATGGGCTGCAGGAATGTAACTACAGAGTAGAAATTTGTTTTTGAACTTAACGCATCAAAATTCCAAATTGTTTAAAAGTTATTTCAATTTTAAGTGCTTTGTTTTTTTGCAAATTCCTTCTCATTTTTTCTTTCTTTCTTTAGATTTAAATTAAGAAGGTGTGTAATATAAAGTATAGGGAGAATGACGAAATTATAAAAAAATTCTGACTGTAGAATAATAATTCTACAGTCAAATTTTTTTTTAAAATTAACTGTTAAACTTGTAGTTAAAAAAATAACATGCTGCTTTATCTACTGCCCTCTGAAATGCAACCACAGAGTTGAATTTTGCTGAGCTGATAGGTCCATTTTATAATATAATTTTCATAATAGAAGTTTCATAATAAGTGTTTTTTCTTAATTTTTGTTCAGATTTTTTGTTTTAAGTATTAACTATTTATCGGTTGTTGTGGGAAGTTTGTTTTTCTTTATTTTATTAACTCACTCTGGAGTAGAAGGCAATCAAAAGTTACAAGAAAAGGAGGTTACGTGTTGCCAGATATGAATCTTAACATTCATGATGAAATTTTAAAAAATAAAGACTTAATAAATAGCGGTAAAAACCGTTCCTATTTTAATTCTTNAACATGCTGCTCTATCTACTGCCCTCTGAAATGCAACCACAGAGTTGAATTTTGCTGAGCTGATAGGTCCATTTTATAATATAATTTTCATAATAGAAGTTTCATAATAAGTGTTTTTTCTTAATTTTTGTTCAGATTTTTTGCTTTAAGTATTAACTATTTATCGGTTGTTGTGGGAAATTTATTTTTCTTTATTTTATTAACTCACTCTCGAGTAGAAGGCAATCAAAAGTTACAAGAAAAGGAGATTACATGTTGCCAGATATGAATTTTAACATTCATGATGAAATTTTGAAAAATAAAGACTTAATAAATAGCGATAAAAACCGTTCCCATTTTAATTCTTATAAGAAGTGTCTTCAACAAATAAAATTATTCAGCATTTATTTCTTCTTAAGTCATTCAGTCTGTATTCCTTGGGTTAATTTAAGTACATATGATAATTTTTTCAAATCTGCGTAATCTATTTTGTTATGATTTACAGAATGCTGTTACATACAGCTACAATAACTGTATATATGGAAATCAAAATGTTCAATGCTTTTGTGGGAAATATTTACGTTAAAGAATAAACAGGGAATGTTGAATGAGAAACGATTATGGGGATTGGCCTCCTAGCGTTTTAAAAAGTGGGTTTTCTTCCTTAACACATTCGCTGCCACTAAAAATTATATTTCCATCGTCAGAAGCCGCATTACAAAGCAGGGTTTTAATGGTTTAAATGTTCCTTATATTTTACTAGGAGAACCAGAAAAACGAAATATATTATTTTCCTGTTTAGAGAGCATTTTTTTTTCCCGGCTCTCTGGAGCGTCAGTGGCACACAGACTCAACCTGTCTTCTTGAGTGCCACTGACGCTTCAGCGCATCTGATCAATATTCTCAGAAATTACTGGCATATTGCATAAAATAGCTGCTTAAAAGGAATAAAACGGAATACCGTTCAAGTAATATGTAGTACCATTTATGAAACAATACTGAAAATATTTACAAATAATGAGCACAATATACAGATATTGGCAGTCACACACATAAAAAAATTCAAACAAAAGTTTTGAAAACCAATCACAAAAAATAATGCTTCACTAACGTGCCGAAACAACCTCTCCGTTCAACTCCCAAAGCCACACTAAACACAGAGCATATAACTTGTCATAGTCGATCAACACTCTAGCGAGTCGTCTGCATACCAGGAGGTGACGCTCCAGTGCGTCGGTGGCAGCGAACGTGTTAAAAAAAAGAATTTATATGCTGCATAAAATATTAATACTAATTGATTTAAAAATTCAAAATGCATTTTTGAAACTTTTCTTGCTTTGTATCTATGAGGACTATCAAATATATTTACTGAAACTCCATTATTTCACATTGTGTTTGTAAGAAACGCTAAATCAAATATTTAATACATCAATTAAATAAAATTGGAAAAATATTTACACATTGCTTTTTGTTTTAACTTGTCCATTTTATTTTCGAAAGAAATAAGAAATAAAAATTTTAGTCTCTTTTTATAGTACTGCACTTTTTCTTGCCTTGTAAAATATTGAAAAATATTTCTAAAATAATAAAACAACTAATGTCTGTTAATTAATAGTAAATTAAAAAACATTAACCAAGTATTTTTTATAACCTTGTCAAGGATTAACATTCTGGCTAGCAAAAGAGAAAGTATGATAGGTTGAAAATGTGTTATTTTATTGCAATCTAGCATGCTTTTCTTTGTGAAAATTTTTTTAGTTTCATTATTTCGTTTTTTATTTACCGATTTTTATTTTGCTAAATGTTTTAAGCTAACAATACAATCTGTATCAAGGCGAAGAGAAAAAAATAAACTATGGTTACTTCTATACATAATCTTTTTAATGGCAACTTTTAATTCTATTTCTAAATAATAAGTATATAGCTCGTCTTTTGAATTTTCTTATTTTTTTAGAAACAGCTTATGCTTTGCATCTTGCTACTCGTTCCAAAGGAGGTAGAGTTATTGAAGTGCTGTTATCTCATAAACCTCCTTTAAATTGTTTTGATGAAGAAGGTCAGACTCCATTGATTCTAGCTATAAAAGAAGAAAATACTGAGGCTGTAGAAGCTCTGGTGAGATTAATTTTATGAGTATTAGCTTTATTCTTTTACCTTCAAGCTAACCATGAAATGGTTATGTTTTTTTTTTGTTTTTTTTTCTGCGTGTGGACATAAACAAGTGTTAGTTTCACAGGAAAAAACTCTCAGGAAATCTAATTTCATGGTGAAGAGTGAGTCACCTTTCTTATCTTTTGTCTCCTTTTTGCAGACTTTTAATAATGAAACTTTTACTTTTTGACATTTTTGTGTCGATTATCAGTTTGCAAACATGTTTGCTTTAAGATGATGGAAAACAATTCTCGTTCCAAGGTAAGTAGCTTTGGCTTTTCCTGATTCTCCTAAGAAGATTAATTTAAGGTAACTAAGAGTATGAGCTAAGTTCCTTAGATGTAGCTGCATGTATATTGAATATTTTATTGCAACAGAGTCCAACATGTAAAGCTGAATATGTGTGTGTCTTGAAAACTTCTGTTTTAATAAAAAAAAGTTTTAGCCAGTCAATCTGCTTCTTTTTCAGTCGGTTGTAATTAGTGGAGAGATCCAGGAAAAAATCTCTAAACTATCATATCAAATACACACAAAAAAAAACATAGCAACCATTAAACATACTTGTCAAATTTATTAGTAAAAGCATTCATCTTTTTAAATTCAAGTGAGAGGCAAAAACAAAGAGGTTGTAGAGGTTTAGTTACGGTTGCTAACTCTTTTCCTTTTAGTGTTTCTGAATATATTTTACATGATGAATGGAAATTTATTCAATTGGGAAAAAATGACCTTGGTGAAAATGTAAAGATTGATACCTTTTGTCATTACTATATTTCCAAGAAAGACTCTTTGTTAAAGCAACTCTCATCTGTTGCATCGATATGGCTTGTATTCTAAATGCGCTTTAAATGATTATAAAATTGCATTAACAAAGATATTTGAATGCAGTTTTGACCATAAAAGATGCTTTAAAAGAGTCGTTTTAACTCTCCTTATCTTACGCCAATGACTAATAAAATATGGATTACAAGCTCATCAAAAATATGCAGTCTACGTAGAAGGATGCAGAAATAAGATAATGAAAGAAAATAGAAAAGAGGCGGAGCAGCAAAAAAGATCTGGAAGAGAAATTACAAAAAATAAAGAAATAAAAAAGTTTTTAAAAAAATTAAAGGAAACCTATAGTGTTAGAGGTTTTGATTTGAAGGAACAGAAATAGATTCACAATGAAATTAAACAAGCAGCTGAAAATTTGCTAAAACTTAAGAAAAAATGTGAAATATTGAAAATTATTGTTTGGCAACATCAGTTTAAACTTTTACTTGAATTGCAGTCAAATTGCAATAATGCATATAGGGTAAAGAAAAAGCTGCCCATTCTCTCTCTCTCTCTATGTCTTTTTTTTTTTTGAAAAATGATTCGCATTTTTTTTATTATTATCACCTTTCTCCTCTTTTCTGAAGTTTTAATGTGCTTTTCACCCTGAAACTAGCCATATATTTGTTGCTTGATGTTGGAGTTAAATCATTTTTCTTGGAGTCAGTTCAACTGTTGTTTACCTCTTCTATTAAAAATAGATAATATGATAAATTTTCACAAAAATTTAAGAAATTATACTTGGGTAAATCTCATTACGCATTACAAATTATGTTTATAGTTATCAGATGATTAAAATATCCAAGGTTTAACTAAAGCTACATTAATAAATCCTATTTAAAAAAGTAAATAAATCAAACAATAATTTAAAATCAACTATTAGTAGATGTCTCCACTTCAAAGCAAAGTTTTATATCAATCATTTTGTGTCCGAAGAGTCATCCCCGATATTTTTTGGAAAAATCTAATGATATAGAAAACTAAACGCTTTTATATTGTTTTGCATAAATATTAAAATAACAGGTCAGGTAACAAATAAAATATTACAGTTTAGGTATCCAGAAGCAGCTGAGTGAAAGATGCAATTTTTACCGTAAGTAAAAATGCAATTTTACCTGAGTAAAGATGCAATTCGTACCCGGACCCGCCAAAGCTTTAGGGCCCAGGACATCTCTATTTTTTATTTAAAATTTTTTATTGTTTTAGATTTTAATTTGACTTTTTGTAGTTTGTTTGTTACTTGAAAATATCCCAAAGTATTTCATGTGAATGATTCTGGATTTTTTTTTCTTCTTCAGGTTAAAGCTGGAGCCAATGTGAACTTGAAGTCAACTGGAAAAGAAAGAATATCACCTCTTATTTTAGCATCAAAGTAACTTTCATACTTTTTTATTTAGTTTTTTATTTATTTATTGTTAAANATTTTTTTGAAAAATCTAATGATATAGAAAACTAAACGCTTTTATATTGTTTTGCATAAATATTAAAATAACAGGTCAGGTAACAAATAAAATATTACAGTTTAGGTATCCAGAACCAGCTGAGTAAAAGATGCAATTTTTACCAAGTACCCGTACCCGCCAAAGCTTTAGAACCCAGTACATCTCTATTTTTTATTTAAAAAATTTTATTCTTTTAGATTTTAATTTGACTTTTTGTAGTTTGTTTGTTACTTAAAAATATCCCAAAGTATTTGACGTGAATGATTCTGGATTTTTTTTTCCTTCTTCAGGTTAAAGCTGGAGCCAATGTGAACTTGAAGTCAACTGGAAAAGAAAGAATATCACCTCTTATTTTAGCATCAAAGTAACTTTCATACTTTTTTATTTATTNTTATTTCAAATCATATTGGTAAAACATACCATGTTCACATGTGCCCCCTGTTCACATGTGCCCCCCTCTCCCCTATCATGTTTACACTACATAACTCATTTGTTTGAAATTTTATAGAGAGATAATTATCCACATGAAATTAATTAAAAAAATATTGGAGAGACACTGGGACACACCATGTACAGTTTTAATATAAATCACATTACATTGCTGTTTAAATATGCACTAACTCAATTAGTAAATAGTCTATTTCCTTTCTTTACATTAAACAATATTTACTTTCCTTTTCAGACATTTTTCAGTGTTAATGTCTTAGAAAAGTTCGGTTTTTATAAACATTTATCAATACTTATTTTTTAAATGCCATACTTTTTATATTTTAATGTTTTAATCAAAAATGTTGAACTAAATAGAATTTTAAATACACATAAGGGCGACCTTTGTGCTGAAATACAAAGTAAGGTAAAACAACGTTTAAGAGCACAAAAATATTATTAAAAGCAGACAGCTGTTTCGGATACTCAAAGGGCAACCTTCATCAGTGCAAACTTGCACTGATGAAGGTTGCCCTTTGAGCATCCGAAACAGCTGTCTGCTTTTAATAATATTTTTGTGCTCTTAAACGTTGTTTTACCTTACTTTGTAAATAGAATTTTGTTAGAGATATAAAAATGCTGACTAACAATATTTTTTGAAAAAAATACAAACCAGCTTGAAATTTTATTCTGGAATCATTCAGCCAATTTCATTTATTTAAAATTATGTTAGGTGAAGGAGTTTAATTTAAAAGTTGAATATGTTTAACCATTTTGGCATTGATTTTACTTACTTGATATTTTATCAATGAACCTTAATAACTACACAGTATAACTTGACCTACTGTCTAGTCTATTTAATGTTTTTTTCTTCTTTCGATCATTTAAACCCAACTTGGATAAACTAAGGATAAATGTCAATTAAGTTACTTGTTATCAATAACAACTATCAAAAACATTAACGCAACTATCAGATTTTTTACAGTCATTGTGCATGGCAATGTAAAAAGTTTCTGATATGAATAAATCACTTTCTATAGATGTTTTATCACATTGATTTTAGTATATCTTCATTATTTTGTTTTATTTTCACTTAGAAATCCTAAACTTGGTAAAATTGTGATACTCCTGGTTCATAATAAAGCAGATGTAAATGATGTAGACCCAAAAAGCAAAAGTACTGCCCTACACTATGTTGTCACAGCTAGGGCTCAAAGTAAGTTAATTTATCAAATATATTTATTTCTCAAGTTTGGTGCTTATGTATTTCTAAATTGTGAGTGATACATTCTTATTATTTTATTTTATTTATTGTTGAGGGAAGGGGATGTGACAGGTGCTTTCTTCTTGCTTTATAAATCAGCATTTAAACTATTCTAGTATTAAGATTTAACATTATTTTGCAAGCAATAAATGTAAGTTTTTATTATAGACTGCATAACAATTTATATTTTAAAAATTTTATCCTTTTATAAAAAAAAATCTACTTTTTTTTTTGATCTCTTTATGTAATTGAAAGTAACCTTTATTCAGTGGGTGCTTCTAACATTTTGAAGTGCTAAGGTGTATAAGTCTCTTTTTTATCTGAATGATTTATTCTGGGTCAAACAAACAAAAAGGCAACTCCAACATACCATGTTTTTACAAGACTCTTATATATTATTCAAATTATCTGTAGAGAGTTCATAAAATTAAATCCAGGGAAAGACTGGTTTAATATTCAGATTTAAGTTTTTTAAAAATGAACATTTTCCCGAGTTTTTTTATTTTTCAGAGTTATTCAATGTTATATATATAAAGCTATCATCACTATTTAATTTTTAGTATAGTTAATGAATTGTAACAAATCAACATTTACAATTAAACTGTTGCATAAATATTTATCTCCAAATTTTACAGTAAGCTATTTGAATTGATGTAGATGTAACTCAATAATGCATTATTTCAATTTGCAAATCTGCCTTAAAGTTTTTTGTGATGAACTGTGAATTGATCCTTTAAGTTTACCTCAATTTATGCATAGTTTATTAGTTACTAACGTAACTTTTATGATAAGAAAACTAATTTAAGTGTCAAGACCAACAGTCAAGTAAAATCTCTAGTCTTCTGACGAGGGTTTTTTCTTAAAATTTCTCTCTTGGGGAGAAAGAAAGCCATCTTTGTTAACACGAAAATGGTGGAATTCTAATCCTAAAGCTGCATTCCATAGTTTACAGTAACTATATCTGTCTTGTAAGAGTATATGGTTATGACAAAAATTTTATTCCTTGTTCCCAAATTTGTCTTATAACAGATCTTAAAAAGTAATAAAAAGAAATCTAAGGATTTACATACCTAAGATAATGCATTGTCAATTCTTAAGTTATTTATAATTAGAAGTATGCAACCTAATATTTTCTTGCCTTTCTATTTATCTCACCCCTTGTTAAAAGATGTCTAATGAACTCTTATTTTGTTTCAGATGTCTTGGAAACTGGTAAAAGTCTTTTAACAGCAGGAGCAGATGTAAATGCTGTGAATGACAAACAAAGAACTCCGCTTCATTTATCTGTGAACGCCTCTTTCAGTGATAGTGATTCTTCTTACGCAATCGAAGAATGTTTGCTTGGATTTGGAGCTAGGCTTGATGCTCTGGACTGTCGACATAGAATTCCTCTGCATTATGCATTTGTTAAAATTGGAAGGTATAATAAATATCTGTTTTGCTGGCATTTTCTTGTGAAAATTGTTCGTATTAAATTTCTTAATTGTTATATTTTCCAGACATTCAGATGCTACTCAGATAGATCCTATGGAATTAGTAGTGCTCTTAACTGGTTCAATGGAAAAAGAAACAATGCTTGTTCCTGATCAGTTTGGGCGTACAGTACTACACTCTGCAGCTTTCAGGGGAGCTACAATATCAGTCATGCACTTGTCTAAAGTAAAAATATATTGTTGTTTTTCACATATTTATTACTAGTGTGAAAAATTTCAAAATTTATGTTTCTTTACGAAGGTCAATCGTCTTGTTCCAGATCTGTTAATAATTTATCTATTGTGAGGATTTAATGTTTGGGATTTAGTTGATAAGCATAAAATAATAATTTTTTACTCATTTAGTTGAAATAATGAGATTTATTATATAATTAGCTATTTAAAAAAAAGCTCAATTAAATTAAACTGATTTTAAATTAACTTCCTTTTTTCTCCATGTATTATTATAAGCTCTGTAATGTATTGTAAAAGAATGTTATCATTTTTAGTGTGTCAGGCTTAATCTAAATTAAACACAATTAGTCTTGTAGTGAATAGAATATATTTAATAGGTTAATATGTACAAAGATTACAAGTTAACTTTAACCCTTACGTGTGTTGTATTTCTCTTAGTAAAATACTTAAACTAAAATCCTTTACCAGAAATTTTAAATTTGTTCTGAAAAAATATTTTTTATTGCAATTTATGCACCATTCTTGTTATTATATTTTTTTAAAAAAGTTAGAATTAGCACAATACTGCTTTCTAAAAGTAGACAAAATGAATTTTGAGCATAATTAAAGTCTATGTCACAAAAATTGCAATTAAAAGTATTTTAATTGTAATTTCTGTGCCATTATTTTTAAAAGAAAAAAGAGGAAGTAGCACAATATTGCCATAAAATAACGGTAAAAAAAATTTTTGAATAAAATTCCAAATTAATAGTAACATGAATAGCATTTATCAAATATTCTACAAATCAATAATTAGTTGCAAATCTTTTAGGAATTATGTTGAGATTTTTGTCTAAATTCATCTGATGCTGCTTAGCAGAACTCTTTGAAATCATATATTAATTTTAAATACTTAATGCAATGTTTCTTTATTTTAAAAAATTGTATAACTATATTAATGAGTGTTTTTACTATTTCAGAGCTTTACTAATTTAGATACCAAAGATAAAGATGGTAACACAGCTTTAGGTCTGGCAGTAAGAAATGGCCATGAAAGGTAATGCTGTTATTTCACTCAAAAAATCTTATCACTTGTTCATATATTTATCTTAATTAAAATATGTATTCATACTAACAATATTATGTTTTATGTTAGTTATTAACAGTATTTAATATAGCTTTTAGTGCAACTTAACAGCTATTGGAATTATGAACTAAAACTTTGAGATTTTTAACACAATCCCATTTCATTTTTATTGGGACTAGTTTGTAGTTTGTTTTAAACCAGTTTTTTTCCCCTTAGGAATTTTAAACTTATCATGCATATACAGTATTAGGGAGGGCAATTTACTTTCACAAAGAAAAAAAGCTGTCCCTGTAGAAATAGGGTTCAACCCAAGTAAAAGAAACTATTTTTAATAAAAGAAATATCGTATGTAGAATGATTTTTTAACAGTTTGTAATTGCTACCTAGTTTAAGTAATGGAAAATAAAAACGCAACAATCAAAAATAAATAAATGGATTTAATGAATTTCTTAAAAAATTAAAATAACTAGTTCATTTCAATATTCATATTAATAAATATTCTAAAACCTAATTTTATTAATACTGCAAACAATATATACAAATCACATACAAACATTAAAGAAAGAGCATATTGAATTCACAATTTCAAATATACTTATTTGTATAACCAAGTACTTATAAGTATCAATGCTCAAATCGACTCTTATATAATAAGATATATAAATTTTTAAAATTCTGTAAAAAAACTTTAAAAAATACAATTATTATTAATATTTTTTTAAGTTATTTTATATTTTTGTGACTATATTAAATTTAATTTGTAATTTTAATCTCTTCACATTTTGACTTATTGTGAAACAATTGGTCATTTTCAGTTTCTTCCATCCAATTTCTTCCAGTATCCTGGAAGAAATTGATTTTTCCCTTACAATATGCTAACCCTGTACTGGATGTAACAAAATTAACGGTTGAAACTATTAGACTTGACAGAATCAGAGCTGTGGAGTTTAAGAAAATTCGCATGAGTCATAAGTCAGAATTTTTTTTTTAGTTCAAACACGAAAAAAAATAAAAGAAATAACTTGAAATTTCAAAAAAAATTTAGTGATAACGTTAATATATACTTTCCTGGGGATTCGCTGAAACTTTTAAATGAGTCAAAATCTCAGTAGAACATATCAACGATCCACAATGTTATTAGTCCTTGATAAAATTTGCCGAAATAAACAATATTTATCCATTACAGTTGTAACTATTATTTTAATTCATAATATATTTTATATCTAAATATTTTTTTACAATGCATACGTACCAAAAATTTCATGTTCAATTTAAGATTTATATTCTACAAAATCTGTTTAGTTAAAGCATTTGTTTGTATATAGTAAAAAGGTAAGATTGTTAGTTTTATATTGTGTTACATTGACCTGCTGTTACAGTTGTGCACTAATGCTGCTTCAAAGAGGTGCTTGTTGCACAGCCGATGTTGTTACTCCTGCATCTCCTGTGAAAAAGAATGAAAACAACTGTTGGACATGGAAGGAGGTTAAGAAGCATCCTTCAGTTCCTGAAAAACATACCATTTTGCAGGTAGGCTTAAGCCATTAAAGATTTAAGAAAAAAAACGTTATTGACCCTTTAAAAATTTAATCAGAATTAGAAACTAGGAAAATAATTTATTAAGTTCTGTTTAATTAAAGTTTCAGAAATAGTTTTTAATAATTTGTTGAATGGAACTTGGAAGTCCTCAAAACAAAAACTTATTGTACTAAATTAATAATTTAAAAGGTAATTTTGACAGATTTTGTATATTTGACACTGTTCTAATAATATGAAAACAAAATTTTGTTATTATAAGAAGTTATCTCAGTAATATTAAAACGAAAAACTGTGTCACCAGGGACTGTCTTCCTTAATCATTAGTTACTTCAAAAAACAAAAAAAAGAACATGATACTTAGCGATATTATTGAGTGAGTGAAAAAGATTAAATATATTAATTTACTTAGATTAGGTATTTCTTTCATTTTAAACTTAGTATTATTTCTAAAAGTATCTTCTGATTTTTTTTAAGGAAACCCTTTTGAAAGATTGGCAAGGAATATTGTATTTGATGCTAGATCAACTCGATAGCTCAGGAAAAACAATAAATATTGCTGTTGAGGTAAGTCTATGTGTAAATTGCTGTTACTTTTTTGTTTGTGGTTTTCATTTTAGAAATATTAAGCCAAATTCTGTTATTAATTCACACCTTCCAACTACTACTAAGTTTCTGATTTTTAGAAAATATTTTAACTGTCAAGTGATTATATTTTCTTAATTTTTAAGAGTAGGTGTTTTTACTTTCTAAAAATAGGAGCTATTTTTAAAAAATATAGTTAGCTGTATAGTGAAACTCCTGTCGAGTAGATAATTGAGACAAGGAAAATTGTCCACTAAGAAAAATAACATAGAACAATTGAGAACTGTTGTGTAGTAACTTAATTACTTTAATGTTTATATTAAACAATAATTAGAAATAATGAATTTCATTAATATTTATTTAAAATAAATAAATTTAATGGGATTAAAATTCAAAGAAAAAAAAAATTGCTGTATGTATCATGTAATATACTATGTTTTACATTGATGCATAAGGGGAAAAGATCAGATGTATCAAATTTGCTTAAAATGGTGTCATAATTTTTTGTAGGGATAAATGTGCTTTTTTTCTTTAATGACATAATATCCCAAATCATGTCTTATCAATCAATCTTGTTTGAACTCTAGTTAGAAATCAGTGAATTATTAATTAATGTTATTTTCAATTCATAGTTGGAATTGAAGTATGATACATGTGACAAAGATTGTGGCATTATCTGCTTGTGCAGGCACATGGCCCCATTAAACTCTTGAAAAAAGATAGTTGTTGAAATGCTCAATAAGGAACTTACAATAATGCTATCAATCATTAATCAAAAGACATACATAAATGTTAGTTTTGCAATTTCTTTTTTCCTATCCCAATTTGAAAACTCTGCACTCTGTTTGCTGCATTGTTCGTAAAAAATTTCATGCTTACGTAAAATTTCTGTTTAAACAAAACAAATTATAAAACTTAAAAATAGTAGTCTTGGGATCTAAACAAACTTTTTTAATTTTCTGCTGTAGAGAAATATTCATAGAATGAGATTTCACTGTAGCAGTTTAATTTTTACATGATTTTTGAATGCTGAGTTTAGATTTGGGTGTTAAAATCTAAGATGACACTATAAAACTAACAAAGTTTTTACCATTATGTTATTACAAATTTATTATTGAAATAAATATTAGATTTATATTGTATTGTAGTATTGAAATAAATATTAGAAGTTTTAGATTTATTCACTTTTCTAAATCAAAACCTTTGCATTTAAGTTTTGTTGACCACATTTTAATGTCTTTCTTTTTCCAATTTTGTTTAGGCTTCTTTAAGGACAGCAAAGTACAATGTAGCTTTAAAACTTATTGGACGTATAAAACATGGCTGGACATTATACAGTGAAAAACAGAGCATGCTTCATGTACTTTCAAGAGAGGCTCCTCCTGATTATTTACCAGAACTGCAAATCAAAGTAAATAAAATATTTATTTTCCAAGTTCTGCTTAAAATATGTAGTTTGTTCTGCATAAAATATATTTTTGTGCAAACATTTAAAAATACAAAATAATTGCATTTATGTAAAAATGTTTTTAAATCGTTTATAAAATAGGCATTAAATGCTCTTTTAGGTCTGGCATTTTTCACTCTGTTATTATTTTCCTTTCTTATTTTTTTTCTCCTTTTTTTTTCATTTATCGAATTCTTGTTATATTTTCTAATATGCTCCAACTCCACCTTGTAAAAAAAAAAAAAATTTTATCTTCATATTAATGGTTTTATTTTTATGATCAATTGTGCAGTCTTAAATTAAATCCTTGTTACCAACATATTTTGTACCATAATCTTTTGAACATTTTTTGAAACTTTATTTTCTGATTGATTAGTGCTATAATATATCATTCCATTTGTTTAAAAATTAAATAAAATTGCTATGAATTATTATTATTAAATTTGATGCATGCCTCACGAAGCTACATTTAAACAAAAATATCTTTGGATAATGAATTTACTTCTCTTTATTGGTTTTCAAACTAATTCTGTCTATCTGAACTATTTTATACTACTGCTATATTAAATTTGAATCTAATACTTTTTTTATGATATAGGTTGCTCAATTTTTGATTGAAAAGGGTGTCCCTCCCATGTCAAAAGATGAGCATGGTTGTTCTGTATTAATTTATGCAGCTATGTTTTGGAATCATACATTGTGCTCATTTTTTACTAGTAAGTAGCATTTAATCTCATACTTGATTATATTTATCGGCTTAGCTTTCTAAATCTATCTTAATGTTTTCGTCATATTTTTTTATAGCTAAGGTAAGCATTGCTGTTGCTGCACAAGTGGATGCCGATAAATCTTTGCGGACACCTTTCTCTGCTCTGTTTTGGCAGCTGAGTTCAGAGGATTTACCTGAAGATATAAAGTATATTAAGTTCTAACTTATATACATTGAAATTCTTATTTTAAAATTGTTTTACTTAACTTCGGAATGTTTAAAATTTTTTAAAAAAAAGTTTATAGTCCCAATTTTTATAAAAAAAAATTTAAGAATTTATATAAGTTTTTTAACTTTTTTAAAAGAGAATTACAATAGTATATTTATTACAACTTTTCAGAAAAACAATTATAATGCTGAACTTCGGTGTTAAATCTACTTATAATGGTACTGTATTTAACGAGAGAAATGGAGTCTTTTTGTTTGTTATAAATATATTAAAAGTGTACACTTTTAGTGATATTTTTCTCTTTGTCTCAGATTTAAAAAGATAAATAGTTTTTAAAGCGTGAGATAATATCAAATTTGGAAAACAAAAATCCAGGTCAGTGTCAAAATGACATTTTACTTGACATGTTGTTGCATGCTTTTAATTTGCCGATCGTTCTCACAAACACATTTTTTTCCAAATTATTTATGACTACCAAATAAAATTAAGCTCAGTCATTTCTTTTGAAGGGAAAATTAGCACGTTGTGTTGCTGTTTTTCCATGAAAACTCTTGGTGGCTGTATCACATTTTTTATTTTGGTGTATTGCTGAAAAAATAAGTGCATTATTATGAATATAAACAAATAAGTGCAGTGTCTTTTTTTTATTAATTAAAATATGCAGGATCAGGTTGGCAAAGTGTATGAAAAATTTCATGGCCTTAATTACAAATTGGTGGTAGCGTTGTCGTGCCACAGGTCCTTGGTTCGATCCTCAGGCCGTGCAAGGTTGACTCAACCTTTCATCCCTTCAGTGGGTTGATAAAATGAGCTTGGGAACTAAACACTGGGGGTTCCGCTTTGGGCTCACCACCCAACTGGAACATCTGCCCATGCACCCCAGAGTTCAAAGGTCAAGAAAACTGGGATGAGCACAGTAGGCATTGACCCTCTATGGGCTGCCACGCCACTGAGTTTAGTTTTAATTACAAATTGATGATTGTCAAAGAGTCTTTCAGCCAACTAATCTGATATTGAGGAATAGGAATTAGTTTTCTTTAAAAAAAAAAAAATATTTGAATTTGTAGATCCATTGCAAGATATTTTTTTTTGAGACGAGACACTTTGAAGATGTGTCATTTACCTACATGTCACCAATAATCGAATAGCTATAGCCTTCATTTTCTTCAATGTGTTAAATATAGTCTTGTACTTATGTTATAGAGTTATTACAAAATTTTGAACATTTTATATAAGTATAAAAAATACAGATAAGATGATACTGAGAATTAAATGGAAAAAAATTTTAAAACAAAGAAATCAGCAATATAAATATACTTCAACTTCTCACTATAGATTATATTAAAGCAATTATTTAACAAATTAGCAAGTGATTTAGGAAGCATTTTTTAGTTTCCTGAGCTCCTGTTAAATACAAGCCCTTTTATATTATCAATGATTCTTCCTATGACTTTAGTGACTTGCATTTTTTTGCCAAAATCTAAAAAAAAATTCAGCAATAAGCATAGAAATAATCAATCTAGAAATCTATGATAAGTAAGGATCCAGTATTCATCAACTAGCCAGCAAGGTTCAAGAAAGAATCTTTTGACTTATAAAATGGCTTGATAAGTAAAAACATTTTTAAGTGACATAAATTTCAAGTAATTTTTAAAATTACTCATTTTTATTTGTTTCAGAAATTGGTGTTGTAGTTTACTTAAAGCTGGAGCAAACCCAAATGTTTTAACACGTTATCCTATTCTCATGAGTCCGTATCCTGGTGTTAGATGTACTGTTCTAAAATCTTTATATATTGAAGATGCTAATGCTCCTAAGTATAGTCCTCTAATAATGGCTATTTATAAGGAAAACTATCCTGTTGTAAAACTTCTACTTACTAAAGGAGCAGATGTGAATTTTCCCGATGATCAATTGAGAACACCATTGATGCATGCTGTTAGATTGGTATGATACTTATATTAATTGTTTTTTTTTAAATTTGCAATGCCATTTCAGATTTTTTCTTCTTCATGGATTGTCTATTATCAGGTAATTTTGTTCCGGCAAACAGGGTTGATTGTTCTTTGGGAAATATAACCATCATGTGATGTTTATTCTGAATTTTTGCAATAAGGCATTGTTTAGTGTTACTTCTTGAATGAAAATAACTAAATATATATTTCCATACATACAATCACCCCTCATGCTGATTATGAATAATAATAACCACATTTTTTGGTACATGTGATAAAATAAGCACAATAGTTACATTATTAATAGCTGCCTGTGAATTTTGGTCCATGTGAACCCCCCACCCATTTCATGGTGTTCTGAATATCTGAATTTGTAACATAATCCCCACTCACAGTCATATTTTAGTCAAATATAAAATGTTTTTATCATGTTCCTTAAAAATTTTGGTATCCTTTAAAAAAAGAAAAAAACAAATATCATTTCTAGAGCGAATTATCTTTTAAACCTATATTTTTATGTTTTAAACTTATTATTATTATTATTTATTTTTTTATCATATTAAAATTCTAGCTAAAGCAAGCCAGTCATGGGCGAATTTTTTTTATTCGGAAATGAGAACAGGAAAATCAAGAGTATTTCTTTCCTTTCTGCTAAACAATAAAAGTAGCTTTAGAATATAATTCTGCAGAAAAAAAAGAGAAAAAAAATTATTTGCTTTTGTATTTTTTTCAGCTATTTTATTGCTTCAACTCTTTCTTTACTCTGTTTTTTAAATCTATAAATATGAAGATGCAGAGTATAGCAGTTTTGGTTATGCCTATCATTTCAATTAATCTTATTATAATGCTCTGTTAAATTTATTGTATTTTTGTCGGAGAAAATAGTAACTTCTTTAAGTCATGAAAAATTCTTGGAATTAGTCGTGGATTTGAAAATCTGAAATGTACCCTGTATATGTTCTTAATTGCAAAATTAATTTTACTGATTTCATCATAAATAATTGTTTTTATATTTCATTCTAGAATGACATCAAAATGGTGAAGTTGCTGTTAAATTTCAATTATGACCCCACAAAAGACAAAAATCCTTATGGTGGTGAGTAAATAAACTACAATAATAAATTAAACTTTTGTGACCAAAGAGTCTTAATTAAATGTTCTTAATGTAGATGCAGAACCAGGAAGTTTTCAGAAAACCAGCAACGTTAACCTTGCAGCCCAAGACTCAAAGGGTTGGACTGTGATACATCATTTAGTTGATCCTTTACCCGACTACTGTTATGCTAACTGTGTTATGTTGAATTTTTTGGCTGAAATGGGTGCTTCCTTAGATACTGTTAATGCAGCTGGAGAGTCTCCTTTGCAAATGGCCTCTAGGCTAAAGCGTGATATACTAGTAACTGCTTTGGAAAGATTACTCAAAACGCCCGATAACCAAAAAGTATGTTTATTTTGATTTGTGAAAGATTTAAATATTAGTATGTTTTTCTTGAAATTATTTCGCCATTTTAATTATATTAAATACAGATTTCCAATGTGTAGATTTTTTTTTTATCTATGTATCATAGAATTTCTTACCCTTATTTAGAGAGAAATTTAATAAAATATGTTGCTCATGTATATTATAGTGTTATACACCAGATAGGCACAGAATTTAGGCCGATAAACACTGGGAGTCCAATGTGTAGATTTTTTTTTTTATATATGTATCATAGAATTTCTTACCCTTATTTAGAGAGAAATTTAATAAAATATGTTGCTCATGTATATTATAGTGTTATACACCAGATAGGCACAGAATTTAGGCCGATAAACACTGGGAGTTCCACATTCAGCTGACCACCTAACTGGAACATCTGCTCCTGCACCCCAGAGCCCAAGGTCAAGAAAAACTGAGATGGACACAGTAGGCCTTGGCCCTCTATGGACTGTCGTGCCATTGAATTTAGTTTAGTAGTGAATCAGTTTTATTGCTTCTAAATAGCAAGCAATTTTCATCTTTTTTTCCCTAACTGTAGATCGATGTGCTTATCTGGCAAACAAGCTAGGTTGAGCCGCGATGACTCTGGGGATAGAGTGTTCTCCTTCCAGTGGGGTGAACCGCAGTTCCATCCCGGTGATGGCTGGTCGATACGAATTCTGCATCCGGCTTGCGCCGACCACAGTGCTGACGTAAAAGACGGATCGAGGGTTAGAGTCCCCTTGCCGTCAGGCTAACCGTGGAAGGTTCCTGTTATCTTCCTCTCCTTGTAACGCAAATGCGGGTTAAATCCATCAAAAAGTCCTCGACAAAGGCAAATTTCCCCCAATGCTTGATCCAGGAGTACCCTTGTCTTCTGGATTGGGTTCAAAATTACTAGGCTTCGAGTTGAACATTAGTAGTCGTAAAAACAAAAATTGGGTCGGCTGTTCAACGACGATTATAAAGAAAAAAACAAGCTAGGTTAGTTTTCCTCCATCCTCGATTAAACTTATAATTAAGATACAAAATTCACTTGTCATAATAGCGTATTAAAAATATCTAAATTGGAAAACTCATATGTAAAGTACCAAAAATAATCAATAAACGATGTGAATTTAAGATAGAATCGCTACAAATTAATCATGCATAATAACATCATTGTAAAAATATCAAGTGAAAGTACCTAAAAGAACCATTCAAAAACAATGGAATAACAATGAAATCAAAAAGTGATTTCAAATAAATCGTTAAGTTGTTACTTAAATCAGGGATGAGATTTTTCCGCTTATAAATATACTTCAACTTCTCACTATAGATTATATTAAAGCAATNGTGAAAGTACCTAAAAGAACCATTCAAAAACAATGGAATAACAATGAAATCAAAAAGTAATTTCAAATAAATCGTTAAGTTGTTACTTAAATCTAAAATCCCTCTGCCATAATAGCATCTTAATAATTTTAAGTATGAAAATTTAAAAAACTGTGGAGATAACTGAAAAATGGTAAATGAGAGTTTAATTTTAACGACTTAAATATCAATATAAAAGGTAACAAAGTAGAATTCTAAAACTGTTAGTATTTTTATATTGCACAAAGTATATTTTGAAAACAAGTTGTTAGTTGCAGAAATATATCCAAAAACACATAAATTACATTGTGGAACTTAATTTTCAGCTACTCTGGCAACTATCTCTCTACCTCTCTTTTTTTTTTAATCAATCAAATTAATTTAGTTTTTAATAATTATGAAGTTTTTTTTATTAAAAGAAGTAACGTTTTGTTTTAGATAAAATTAGAGCTTAACCTGCCAGTACCTCTATCATCTGATGATATCAAATGGGACCAACCAATATCATCCTATGTTGAAGATAGTAAATCATATTTAGAAAAAATAGCTAGTGAAAAAATGGATCTTGAAATTGCAGCTACATGTCTACAGCCTGATCCTTTATCTGGTTTTGACAATAACGGGTAAAATAATTTATGTGCATATATATTTATTTTTCATAAATTTAAACGAAAAAAAAATTATACTAAAGTTATTTATATGTAGTTCAGTCATATATTTTTCCAGGTTTTGATTGGAGTATAGAAATTTAAAGAATCTGAAAATATAAATTTCACTTAAAATTAAATTTTCATAAGCTGATTATTTTTCTTTAAAAAAATTTTTACTCTTTGAGCTTATAAAATTATTTTTAAAAACTCTTGATTTAAAAAAATTTAAATTTTTAGAAGTAAGCTTTATTTATATATTTCTTTTCGAGTATAGTTTAGAAGTCTCATAAATATGAAAACTATTCATTAGTTTAACAGGAGTGCTATCTTATGATTGAACCATAATTATCATGATTTTCCACTTAAGGTGACTTAAGGGTTACTTTTTATGTAATAGTTAAATTCATGCTTAATGTTATTAATATTAAGCATATATACATATGTAGATTAAGTAGTTAAAATAATTTAGAATCATGCTTAAATAAATTTAAAATTATGGTAAGCCAATTCCTAACAATTGGATTGAAAACGTTTAAAAATAACTACCTATATACAAACACTGAAGTATTAATTTAAGGATACTAGTTTCCTTATGTGAATGGAATTGTAAAATAGTAGTTCAAGTATTTTTTAATCCCCCTTGCAAAGCTTTTTCTGTTATAGCCTGTTAAACATCTATGATTTTAATGAAAATTCTTTTACTATCATGTATTTTATCTATTTGTTTATTCTGGATGTTTTTTTAAATAGAGAAATTGTGACTGATACAGAAAAAGATGTTCCTTATGATGTAGTTATGACTGTTGTAGATTTAAATTATGGAGCCTATGGAATTTATAATTTTTATAAAATGCAGGTAAATATTCTCCACAAATTTTTTAAATTGTGTTGACAAGTATCATTGTTTTAAGAAAAGTTGTCTTAAGTTTTTACTTAAACACTATACTCCTTCAAATGTATTTGTAAACCTCTAACACATAACTTTAACATACAGTTATAAAAAAATATCACTTCAAGTTTCAAATCAAAGGGAAATTTTATTTTCATCTTTCTGACGATTCGAAAAGAGCATTTGAGCATTGAGCAAAGGAAACGAAATTTGAAATATTATAAGTATTTTTTTAAAAAGTAATAAATATAATACTAAAAATGATTGATTTTAAGTTGTAGTGGCTTTTACAAGGCTATTTTATTGCATGATTGGGAAAATATTTTTTTAAAAACCATACATAGTAAAAATATTTTACCTCAAGAAAATATTTATTTGGAAACTGTATTATGTTTAATAAATAGTCTGTCATTATTTTGCTGATTAAAAAAATGCATTGTTATATGTTGAATATAATTGAATTCAGAATTAAATATTGCAAAATTTTTCATTGATTTTTCAGCTGTATTTTTTTTATTTATTATTTTTTTTATATGAATTGAATATGAAATATCTGCTTTTTGTTCTCTTTTTGCAGCTTATTAAACACAAAGGAAAAGACCTATTTATACTTTTTACTTGTTGGGGACGTGTTGGTGATACCGGACAATACCAGAAAACTCCTTATAGCACATTAGCTGATGCTGTAAAGGAATACACCCGCATATTCCGTGCCAAAAGTGGTAATAGCTGGGATGACATTAAAAAGTAAAAATTTCATTATATTTTTTTTCTGGTCAAAAAATAAATTTCTTGTTCAGAATAAAGGAAAATTATATTTCAAATTTTTTATGTGAGATAAATACATTAACAAAAATTAAGATGATCTGTTACTTAATCTCTGTGTTCAACTGTGACTTTTTACTTAAATTTTGAGGAAAACTGTCTTACAGCATCTGTCTTGTTAACTTACAGCAATAAAGCACTCAAGTATATTCAAGTTTTATTTTTTATTTAAAATATGTATATTTTCTTTTTCAAAATGTTATTTTTAAATATGGAAACCACTTTTAAAGTATATCCAAAAAAAATTTTTAATAGAAAATTTAAAAATATGAAATGGTTAAGAAGACTATTTGTGCTTAATCTTAACGAGCTGCATGACTTAATTTTTTTTTTTAAATTCTTTGCTGACTGTTTCTTTTCCGTTGGCATCAAAGATCAATTCTAGCATGAAAAGCAACCTGTACCTTCCTAAATTGAAATGCGTCAAACACACTTGCATTTAACATAAATTGATTTACTGCAATCTGGTGCTAGATTTAAAATTCTGATTTATGTTGATATTTTCTTGAGCTTACATCTATTTTTAATGTATTAAGTTAAAATAAAAAACAAGTGCTCAATTTGAAAAAAAAGATTAAAAAATATGCTTATAAACATGAATGACGGAAAAAATACCAGTTGAATTCTTTTATATATATGTATATATATATGTATGTAGTTTGCTACAAAAATATGTAGCCATTCGATGTTTTTATTTCATTTTGACTTCATATTTAACTATTTCCTCAATAATTTCTTTTTTTTCCCCCTAGTTTTCAGCCTCAACCTAAGAAATATCGCTTAGTTCAGCTTGAAAGAAAGAAATTTCTTCCTCAACAAAATGTAAAGCTTAATTTGACTTCAACTGTTCCATCAAAATTAAGTCCTCCATTACAAAATCTAGTGAAAAGCTTAGTAAGTTGTTTATTTAAATTTTTTGTTTAACAGACAAATTTTCTCTCACTTGAATATTACACACTAATTGTCACAATATATGAGATGTTTAATCCCTTAGTTCATGGGCTAATAAATGAAAATTTAAAACAAAATTGTTAAATATGCCTTCCTGAGGGAATATATTTAATGATTATTTATTTAATATTTTTAAAAAAATTTAAATTATAAACTAAAAAGTGTTAAAACACATTAAAGCATGTTACCATTTGGTTTTAATATGGAATAATTGTTTTACATAGTTATTGTATGCCTTTTTTAATCTGGGTCTTCAATAAGTTAGTTTTGCTTAAAATTCTTTCCATGAATACAAATTATAAATCCATTTAAAGAACTAAGTTCATCATATTCTCCCATTGAGTTTTAGAGATGTAATAGAAAATACAAAATAGTAAAAAATAGAATTAAGGAACCATATATAACCACAGAGATGCCAACTTGCTCCGCTTTGAGAAATAGTATTTTCTAGCGGTAACGAAATTTAAGATATTTTTAGTTTAGTATTTTTAATTTTTCCACCACTAAATATAAAAATCATATAAAATGCAACCTGAAATCTTTAATTATTTGGTTACTGTTTTTTTAAGTAGGCGTAACTAAGCTTATTTTACAAGTTATACCATTTAATTCGATACCACTTTATTAAAACTTTTTCCAGAGAGCGGAGCAGTTGGCATCCCTGTAACCAGATTGTTACTACCCTATATTTTAAGGACAAATTATCTGTACCTTTCATACAAATGCACGTATTCAGATAAGATAAATTTCTTTGTTTAAATTTACAACTTAAATTATTGCTTTTATTAGTTAATTAGCAAATATAATGTGTGCTCCTCAAATCCAGGATTGTTTTGTTTTAGTATGCAAAAAATTCTGCCCTTAAATCTGAAGTTATTCATAATGTCAAATTTTTTTTTTTTTTTAGTGCTGTTTAGATTGAAATGGGAAAGTGTCAATTTCTTTTAAAAGTTATAAAAAGATTTGGGTTGGTAACCTTAAAACTCAATTCCTTGGGAAATTGAAATTCCATATTTCTTAATTTGATTTTTCAAGATGTTCTTTTAACATCCTTATTATTGTACATTGCCTGTATGCATACCCTTTATATTGTAGTGTGGTATGTAGAAAATTATTCTTTTCTAGAAATATGTATAAAATTAACTAGTAAAAAATTTCCTTTTAGATTGATGTGCATACAATTGAAGATACTTTGAAAGAATTAGGAGTAACAACAAAATTTGAAGTTTTACCTTTTGGTTGTCTTTCTGTTGATGTCCTTACAGCAGCTGAGAATATTCTGAAAGAAATAGGGTAAGCAACCTCATCTTCCTTTTGAATATTATAAAAAACCTAATTTGCGATCAACCAAACCTAATAGTAAAACCAAAGTATTGACCTTTTACGGTGGTGTAGTTAAGAATTTTATTTATTTTGTATGTGTGTGTGTGTCTAGGTGCGTTTTAAACAGGAATTTGATAAATCATAGTTTTCTGTCTTATCCGGATTTTTTTATTATGGTTGATAAGCAGTTAGGAAGAATACCAAATTTTAAAGCAACATCCTTTTTTTCTCACCTTTGTCCACCTCTTGAAGAATTAAAAAAAAAATTCTTTAATTGTCAGGTGCTTTCGCTTTGACATTTTTCAGCAGCTGGAACAGCAAGCAGCGCTCTGATCAACAATCTAAAAACAGGAGGCTACTTCAATTAACGAGGTTCTACTGAGTAAAGAAAAGGAATGTTGAAAGTTTTTCTAGAAGGGAAGTGAACAGTAGAGGGAGAGATAACGACTCTGTGAAACTGAAATATGCCAATAAAGGATCACACACTTTAAAACATAATCTTCCTTGCTCTTTTCCTACTCAAGGAATTTTACCCTTTCCCCCTCTTCCAGAAGTATTGCTTTTCCTGCATGAAATGCAAACAAAAAGGGATTTTACTTTCTTTAAACAGGAAGGGGCTGTAAAAATCAATTCGAGGTCATTTCCCCCATGAAAGGCATTGACAAGTTTGAGATGTTCTAAAATATATTGGGAAATAGGTAAAGTGGATATCAAAGAAAAGTTCTTTAAATAGAAAATTCACTTTGTACTTGGAAGCTATTTTACGAAGAAATTTCCTAAATGTTTTCGGTTCCATGAAGAAGAAAAAAGCGCAAAATGGACATTAGTTAAAAAGTCCGACTGTATTATTGAATTTGACACAAATGATGTCTTGAAATCTTTAAATTTGTAACTTTATAATTTTTAAAAGTTTTCACTGTATTATTATTTTTTTTAGATACTTTTGAATAAATTATCTTTTCTTATTTTTAATGTTTTTTTTAAATGTAATTCAAATATTGTTTCTAAAAAGATTCTTATATGTAAAGAAAATGCAAGATTGATTGCATGTTACATAGATAATAGTTTTTGAACGAGGTAAATTCACAGAGTTATTCATATCGATTTCATTGTTTCTAATGCATCAATAATTCAAATTATTGACTGATTCAAATGATTTATTACTGGTGTAAAAGTCTACTTATACACTAGAATATTAGGTATCCAATTCTTTACATATATAAAATTCTTACACAACTTAATTTTAGAATATTTCTTTAATAATAATTGTATGTCGACAAAATTATTTCTGTTACTTAATTTTATTTTTTTTGTACAGAAATGTGATAACTGAAAAAGACAACCTGAATCAGAATGTAAAATCTCAAGAAAAGTTTGCTGAATTAATGCATACAGTAAGAAAACTCTTTTACTTCTTTTGTGATCTGGAGTTTTCGTTATCTTTCAATTTAGTTATTTATGTATTTTAAATATTTCTTTTAGATTGTGAAGCTAAGTGAAGAGTTTTACCAGCTACTTCCAGTATATGGTTACCAATACGAAAAATTATGTCCTTTGTTTAGTGCAACAGATGTTCATTCAAAACTTGTTCTTATTCATAATTTACTTCACATAGGATTATCATCAGAGTTGCTTCTAGGATCCAGTTTGAAATGTGCAGGTACAAATTCATACTTTTACTCAACAGCTACAAAAGAAATATAGTTTTAAAAAATGCAAACTTGCAATTTATTTAGTTCTTCAGCTCTTTGTCAATTTTAAAGATTTTGGAGTTAAAACCTTTTTTTGCTTATCCCTGATAAATCCATTCTCTTTTTAAATAAGTGTTTAATAATTTAAGTCAGTTTTAGAATTCATATAGAAGACAGTTACAATAAACCGTTTCAAAATTGTCCGTATTAGTAGGGTGTGGATGGCTGAATATTTACCACACTTGGTAATCTTTCCATCAAAACCATGCCAAAACATGTTAGCTAGATTGAACTATGCTTTGTTATGTTTTCATTAGTTTAGGGGCACGAAGTTATATTAAAATTGTGTAATTTATTGAAATAGCTCTTTAAATTAAAAAATATAATTTTATTTTTGTTTAATTTTCAAATCTTGAGATACTATTGAATAAATATGTCTTTTTAAAGATATACCTCGTTAACTCTTCATGGAAATAATAGTTTTTTATCTTCTCAGTAGATTGTTACTGTCAACTAATCACAGAATTATAACATCTGTATGTCATAATTCTTTAAACTACACTAGTGGGCAAAATTAAGAGAACATTCTGATTTTGACGATTATCTCAAAAGCCATAATTCAGTGGTCTTGAGTGTCCAAGATTCCTGACTTTTTTGTGTGCCTTCTAAACATAAATTTTCCATGAACACAAATGCATAATGTAGGATAATTGATTGAAATATTTTGATTTTCAGTATACATCTTTTCACTTGATCTATTAATGCTAGTAAAAATCGCAAAATTCATTTGTGCATTTATTAGGAGTGTCAAAAGAATTTACATTGCTGAATTTCTTCAAATTTAGTGATGAATTTAGAACTCGTACACTTTATTATATTCTAAAAATACAGTAACTAATCTTTTAGGGTGGTTTTTTAAGTTTATTTATTGGTTTTAAATTTATTGATTTATTTTAAAAATGATCTAGTTTAGTCCCAATCTAGTATACAATATTCATCGAATTTTTAAATAGTGAATTAGGAAATCATTCGGTAAATTATTTTGGTGCAAAATTGTTAATTAGCATATTTATTATATGTTTACTTTGAGATTATTGAAAGCATTCATCAAAATTATTTGATTAAGGAAGTCTTGAACTCTGCTACTAATTTTAAATTATTATCTTTAATTACGTAAAATAATTAAATGATTAATTGCTCAGTGTTCCATTTATAAAATTATATTAGAAATTGTAAAACACTCTGAACAAAGTATTTTGTATTTCAATATATGAATTATAATTTTTTTAATTTGTGTCATATATTGTTTTAAAACGATTTTTTTCTTTAATTATTATTGAAGACTAATCAATACTAAGTTTGTTACTGCTGCAGGCTATACTCCATTTGATTTATTTTCTTTTAATTACAGATACTCACCCTTATGATTATGTATATAGATCTCTAAAATGCAATTTAAAGCTTCTCAACCAAGATTCTCAGGAAGCTCAAATGATTTTGCAGTACATAAATAGTACATGTAAGTTCTGTTATAGCTGCTGCAATAAATACATTTATTACTTAAAATAATAGTTACCAGATGTTTTACTTCTTTATTTCAGCTCTTAGCAAGTCTGTGAAAGTGCAGTCAATCTATGCTGTGTACATACCTGAACAGATTGAGCAATTCAAGACCCAGAGTCTCTCCAACCGTATGCTGTTATGGCATGGAACACGTCTTTCAAATATGCTAGCTATTATGGCTCGAGGTTTGCAAGTTGCTCCTCTTGGAGTGCAAATAAATGGCAACTTATTTGGAAAAGTAAGGCTTCATATCCTTTTCTCATAACATGAAAATAGCTGTATTTAACTTTAGTGTCTATTCATACCGTGATACAATGGTTTGCACACCTTACTCCAAAGCTACTCACTCAGCTTTGATTCCCAATCTGTATTAATTGTGGTCTTCCACTTAACTGTTGATTCAATTAGGTCAATTAAATGCAAGTTCACTTACTGGGATGACTCTGAGATACTTTTCTTCGGAACACTTCATGTATACTAAACAGGGGTCTGTCCAGGCCAAATTTACTACCGCTTTGTGGTACCTTCACAAATTCAACTTTAGGAAAAATGGTAGTTTCACAAAATACTTTTTCTTGAAATTTTATTTTTGTATCGATTTTTTAATATAATTTTTAGTTTTTCACAAAATAGGTACCTCTCAGAAAAACCTGGACAGACCCCTTCTAAAAGTAGATTCATTGCAAATCCTCTTATGATATAACTGTGGTGTAATGTTTGAAAAATATATACGTATTTAGATTATATTTTAGATTAATGAGCACTTTTTAACAGTCTATTCTTAATTTACCTATTTAATTTAGTTAGTATATAAGCTTCTTAAAATATAAAAGCGAGAAATATAGATCATAGTATAGATAGTTCCTGTTTGATAGAAAATTCATATACTGTTTAACCATCTAGTTTTTTCTCATTCCAAAAATAATTTTTTAACTTAATTTTCAAAATGAATACTTAGTTCGGAAAGCTTTCCTGGCTGTCAATTTGGGATTAGGATCACAAAAAATTTTCAACTTTTTCTTTTCCTTCAATTTTTTAATTCTCATAAATAGTGACTATTTTTATTTTCATATTCATGTAAATTTTATTTACAGGGAATATATTTTGCTGACATGTTTACAAAGAGCCAGAAATATTGCTTGCAGAGTCATTCATCTAAAACAAAAAGCATACTTCTCTGTGAGGTAAAAAAAAATTGATTTTAATAACACCAAAAATTCCAGTATAATTTAATGTTCTACCCAAAGATTTTATCATAATCTAATGTGTTCATTGAATGTTTTTTTTTCTTTGCAGGTTGCATTAGGTGATATTAAAGAAGTAGATTATAATGTAGTGGTTGATCCAACAGAAAAATATGACAGTGTCAAAGCTGTGGGACACAGGCATCCTAATCCAGCCCAAAGTATATTTTGGAAAGGTATATTGAAATTTTGAATTTAATTAATTTATATTGCAGTTTATTACTTATTGATTTATATCACTTATCATCCCCGCTTTGTTAGTCTCGTTCAAAAGTTGCATCAGTGCAGATATTTTTATAAAATTATTTTTTTTAACATTTTACATCTGCGAAGATTTAACAGATGTTAAATTAGTTTTACATGTGGGTATTTCTAGAATCAATGTCATTTCAAAAGAAAGTATTGTTGGAAATCATGTCATTTGTAGAAAAATAGATTTCTTAACATTTAGCCAATCAGGATTCACATTCTTGTGAGTTTTGTCATTTTCTTTTCAAAGGGTAGTGGTATTTATTTTACACTGTTAGCACTGTTAGTGACGGTGTGGGAAACATCCTAGAGAATGACCCATCACAATTTTGATCCTCTGCAGAGGATATCGCTCCCTCAAATGATATGTTCAATTGTGTTTTCCATATCAAGCACTTCATAATAGAACAGCCTAACGAGAACCAATACCGCCTACCCTCGGTCGTGATGCTAGTATTTGGTGATCTGTTCGGAACTGTATATTAACGGTCTGCCCACTGAGAATTTTTTTTTAAATAATTTTATTTAATATCATCTTTTGAATTTTTAGTTATATATATATATATAAACTTAGAAAATGAGCTCAACAGTTAAAAACAGTGTTTTCACTAGAGCGCGAGAATCTCGCATTAAAAGATTATTACCGCGAGAAATTCGCACATTCTATAAATCAATTTGAAAATTCGAGAATTTCTCGCATTTTGGAAAAAGCTTAGCATTACGCCATTTAGAATAAAATCCGTTTCACTTTTCTTCCTGGATCTTTCATTATATTTCCAACATCTGCCCTGTTCCATCTTCCCTATTTACCAGTATTGTTCAGAACCTTTTCGAACAACAGAACACAACCACGGAACCCCTTTCAGAACACATTTCTCTGCAACCACGTGTTTATACCGTAAGGTTTCTTCATGTAAGATATTCAAATTTTTTATGTGCTAATGTAAGATGGACAAATACCTTGTAAAGGCAAAATCTTCCATGATGATGCACCGAAAATATTTAATGCTTTAAAAATAGAAGACGTTAAAAATTTATTATAATTAAAGAAATGATTTTTTTTTCGAGAGTTTTTGTTTTTTTAGTTTTTAGAAATCTCACTTAATTTTTTGAAATCTCACCCTGTTTTTGAGAAAGGGTGAGAAATTCTCACCCATTTTTTTTTCTATGATGAAAACACTGCAAAAAGGAAAATTTCTCAAAGTTTTTTTATTGCATTAAGTTTTCAAATAAAACAGATAACACATAAAAATTTACTTGGTTCAACTTTTCACTCTTCTCACCTATTTTAGAAACATTTTACTTATATTACTTACGATGTAAACACAGCTGTTGCAAAAATAGCTTTAGTTCCCAGGTAATAACTGTTATGGTAAAAAAAGAATAAAAAATTTGTTGTATATTATATTATAATAACCCTTGTAATGATGACTCTCTTCTATTATTAAATTAGGTATGACTGTTCCTTTGGGTACACCTGTGAATGCCTTGGAATTGGGGACATCATTGTCACATCATTATCTGAACTTCAACGAATATGTGGTTTATAATTCATCCCAAGTGTGCATTCGTTACTTGATACAGTTTATTGATTAAGAAAAAAAAATATTTTTTAAACTCTCTCGGCTCACTTTCTAAAAGTGTATAGAAAAATAAAAAAAACATTTCACCTTCCCATTTTGACGACTGTGACAGACGCCAGCAGACTATGGGGGTTATAACCCCAGACTAACAGTGCAAAACATCATTTTTTGCATCTTCTTGTCAGCCCAAGCGGAAAAAAAAAAATGTGTTATGAAAATCACCCTCTTTCATTATTTGAAAAAGAAATTATTTCATCATATTACATTGTTGGTATTTCTTGAATGTTTTCCAGTGAACAAGCCAGTTGTTTTATTTTTTAGGTATTTGTGAGCTGGAATGACAACCTGAGGCACAAAAATAAAAGGTTTTTTTTTTCTTGTTTATTTTCTTTTGAAATTCCATCACGGATTATTTTTTACTTGAATGAATTTTTGAGCGAAAGCTTCAGATCTTAAGACTGTTTTTAATATATCATATTTAAAATATATATATATATATGAATTTATATTTGAATCATTATATTCTTCCTTGTTTTATTTTTCTTACTTTTATGCAGAGTTGAAAACGTGTTGGGATTTTAAAAGAAAATAATCACTTTCTGGCATGTCTTGAATGAGGAAAGTGATTTTTAAAATATCTGATTTTAGATTCCTTGTACCTAATAAGGAAACAGGTGCAATGTAGATATTTCGTGAAACTGACCATGTCAACGGCCTTTTAATTGCAACCAACTGTTTTAATCTAAGATCGAATGAAAAACTGATTTGTTTTGATCATTGTTTTATTATATTAGGTTTTATGAAGTTATTAATTTCTATATTTAAATTAATGACATCAATCAAAACAAAGGCACTTTTAATCATTCGCATTTGTGTTGCACTGATATTTACATTTAAAATCTCTATAGTTTAATTTACGATTCAGAAAGTTATAAAATATTGCATGTAAATTAAATCATCTTTTTAATAATGTAATGAATTATGTTTTACATTAACGGTGAGAAAATTTTGGTGATTTAAATTTGAGTTCAGCATGAATTTAATTTAATCTTTACATTACATTTCTTTGTTGTATAAATGAATCATGAGTAGTGTTGAGTTTTATGGCTGGATCACTCATCTGCAATAATTGCAGCCATCTGTAACAAACGTGTTGCCTGAAATAAAATATTGCAATTCACTATTCCACGTTTCTTTTGCCTTTTTTGTCTTTATCTTCTAATTTGTTTATCTTAGATAAAATTGTCATTAAAATTAATTTTTTAAGACGTAAAATTATGAGATTTGCATTTTAAATTTATATTTTATACTGGCCAAGTGGTTGCATGTTTGGATACAAAGCCAGTAATTGCAGGTTCGAATCCCACTGAGGACATGGATGTCTCTCTCTTAGTTATGTGTGAATGAGGCCCATTTTATGAACAGGTCTGTGCCAGTGTGGTGTGGGTAGTGTTACTTGCCTCCTGTGAATTATGTTCACACCAAGTAACGTTAAATGAGCAACAGTTCCGAGGAGAAGTTTGGTGCCTACTATTAGGAAGAAAGAAAATTATATTTTATAAAACCAGAGTTTTCAACTACGCCATAAGTTTGGCATATTTAACGGCCCTGTTATAAATAATGTACTGTTATAACAGAATACTATGTTACTACGTGAATTTCGAACATGATTGCATTTACAGGGATGAGATTCTTCCGCGGATACACGGATTTCCGCTTTTTCTCTGATTTTTCCATTTTTCCCGCTAATTTCCGCCGAAATTTTTTTTTGCACAAGTTAAAATATTTTATGAGGAATTTAATTTTCCGCGGAGCGAAATTATTGAAGTCCTCATTCCTCCCTCTGAAGTTTCTCTAAAAATCATTTCCTTGGGATAAAACTGGTTGACCTTTATACAGGGATGAGATTTTTTTCGCTTTTTTCTCTCGAATTTCAGCCTTTTTATCAAAAACTCAGATTCTCTAAAAGTTTCGTTTTTTTTATTTATTTATTTATAAATATCCCTTTTTTTTTAAAAAAAATTCAGTCGTTGAAGTCAAATTATTATATTTATTTACGATTTTCAAAGAAAAACAGAAAATTCAAACTACGTCCTAGCTGCTAATCCTTCCGCATGTTTACTTATATTAGCTATTTTCTCCGATTTCACGCACAGAAAATAAGATTTTCCGTATTTTTTATCCGTCGGCGGGATAGCTCGTATTTTCGTAATTTAGACGTCGCTGCTTCTTGTATTCTGGAGAGAAAGCAAACAAAAAAAGCGAAAAAAAATAGAGGTGGATTTGTGGTGAAAATATTTATTTGCTCATTCAATTAATCTTGTAAATTTTTATTTATTGTGTAAACAAAAAACAATTCAAACAAGCCTTTTAGAAATCCCAAGTCCAGACTCTGCAAATATCTCGATTTTTATTCACGCGATTTTAATATCAATCATCGATTTTCGTATTTACCTGATTTAAAAGTTGCGCATTGCAATTCTTATTTACGCTTTTTAAATATCGTACATTATGACTCGTATTTACGAGATTTAAAAATCTAATATCGTGTTTTGTATTTTTGCATTTTTAAAATCGCGATTTTATTATCAAACATCGATTTTCGTATTTACCTGATTTAAAAGTTGAACGTTGCGATTCTTATTCAGGCCATTTAAATATTGAACATTGCGATTCTTATTTACGAGATTTAAAAAACCAATTTCGCGATTTGTATTTACGAGCTTTTAAAACCCTATGTAGCTACCCGAGCTTAAAATCCAATGTCGTGATTCGTTTTTGCGGTTGTAATATCGCGCGATTTTAAAATTATGCATCTTGATCTAAAAATTACGCATCATGATTTGTATTTTCGCATTTTTTAAATTCGATGTAGAGTTTTATATGCACGTGATTTAAAAGCCTCATATCGGGATTTATAATCACATGGATTACAAGTTTAAACAAAAATTAGACAAAAAAAGTGCGATTTATATATATATATATATATTCTTGGATTTCCTCTTTTTTACTTTCTGACTACTCTCATCCCTGCATTTAACACCTCATTAAAGTTGCAACAATGGCAATGTGTTTCAAGGTTATGGTTCAATATCAAATGAATTTTCCTGATATTATAATATAGTATATGGGAAAAGTTAATTTCTGAATTTTTAAAACTGTTTAAACTCTAAAAGGCTGCAATACAAGTTCACTATTTGCATTCTTGTATATAATTCTAGAACTAAGTAAAAGGACATATTAAGTGAATTTTATGAAAAATACCTTTAATATGTATGGAAGCATCAGAAAATTAAACAGTTTTTAAAAAAACGGCCTTACTCTGAAAAAGCATATTATCACGCCCATAGAAAGTTACATTCTTTTATGAAGTTGTATTTTATAATAACTAGAAATACTGTGCATACAAAAAAATTTCTCAAATTTGCATTTTTTTGTAAAACTGGTAAAGTATTAAACACTTGGAATAGTTTGATTAATTTTTTATGTTTAGTTACCACCACAACATGACTTATTTCATTGGTAAATTTGTTTTAATTGAGTAAAGCTAGAATAAGAAGTGCTTCATTCAGAAAATGAATAAATACTAGGGATATTTTTTGTCTAATCTTTAATAGCTCTGCAAAATTTGTTTGTTGTGTTAAAAATAATACTATACTTATACCTTAAAAATTTAATTTCATGTTGAAATTGGTTATTATCATTTCAAGCTGTTAATCTTAAAATTCTTAAACTTTTTTCACCTATATTTTCTATTATATCTGTAGGAAAAATAATAAGAGCCTTGCGTCATACATTTTGATTTTAATGGCAGATATAATATATTTTTTGGACAGCTCTCATAAAATTTTGGATGCACTTCAATCAGTTCATATTAAAAGTTTTTAAAAATTGTACAATTTTTACTACACTGCAGCAAAATCTACCAACATCTCAAAACATTTGAAATACTAAAGAAAAAGTATTTTTACAATTATAAAATATTTCAGATTCTGACCTTTAAATTGTCTTATTCCCACAATTAATTTCAGAATAAAATTGGAAATGTTTGATATCTGTGTTCTGAGCTCCTTTAAGTAAACAATAATATTTTTTTAAAACAACATTATAGAATAAAAACTAAGTTAAAAATAAGGAAATAAAATAAATTTTTTAAAAAATGAGATTTAGTTCTTAATTTAAATAGAAAGTTGCACATTTTTTATGCTAAAAAGCATGTGCTCAAATATTTTTAAATAAATTACAGTATTTTTTATTTTATTTGATATTGTAGTATTCATTTTAATGTGATGCATTAAAATGCTGCATGCAGTGACTTAAAGATATTTGAAAGTAAATAAGCACAAATATGAAAAACACATTTATTTTCATATTAAAAACAACTGCTAAACATTTTCATTATCAACGGTATAAAGTAAAAACAATGAATTCCACAAATAAAATTTTTTTTTAAATATTTGTTGTAAATGCTAAGTATATTAAATTTGTTCTACTATCGTCAGCTGTTACAAGTGGGAGGGTTAAAATTCCCCAATACATTTCCTTCAAACATTGAAGCTGTGACCAGGAAACAAGCATATATCACAAAAGCTGCTACGCCGTACCGCCAATTCAGTTTCCAATTGCACAATAGAAGCGATAAGTAGAAAAACACAACAACTACTAACATTAAAAGGGATGTATATGTAAGAGCCGAACTATTGATCACCAGGGATTTTGTATCACTATTCATGAGGGTCTTTATGAGCCAGGGTACGCCAAGACAAAACAAGATGTCGAAAATGTTACTTCCTAACAAGTTACATAGAGCCATGTTACCTAGACCTGAAAATAAGTTCAATTTGTTAAAATAGCACTGATTTAAAGTAAGAAAATTAAAGGGGGCTTATTTTTATAAACAAATATAATGTACTGCACTGTGTAAGTTAAGTGAACCAAGTTTTTTCAAACCACAGCATATCTAACAAAGTATTAAAAGTCTTTTGAAATGGAGTTGTATGTTTTAAATAAATATGCATGAAATTTATGACGTTAGGTTATTTTATAAGTGCGTACACTTGATGGAACATTTCAACGTGACTTTGTTCCTTATCAATGAAAAGTGGTCAAAAGATTCATGTATGGAAAATCAAAAGAAAAGTAATATTTTGGAAGTTCTTTAGTTAAGATTGACTGTAGGATAAATAAATAAACGCTTATGTCTTGTTCCTCATGATAATGAATTAAATCAAAAAAAGCATAGTTGTTTGAAGAACATTTTTATTTATTTTTTTCACTTAGTCTCAACTGATAAGCATAATAAAGTATAAGGAAAAAATACCAGTTCGATTTAAGAAATATTACAAATAAAGTGTGTTTATCATTACACATTTTAAGCAAAGTTTTAAGGATTTAAAAAAAAAAAAAAACAGGATTTTTTTTTTTAATTTTTTGCCATTATGAAAGGGTGTTAAGTATTGGATGATTTTTAAAGTTATTTTTTTGCAGTTTCCTTAATATGATTTATACATGTTTAAATTTATGTAAGATTTGTGGCACAAGGAGTAAAAGGAAAACTTCCTCTATCTAACTAAATCAAGTGTTTTATTTAGATTACATAAATTGTACTTGATAAATCTCATTAATATTAGTAATTAAATAATATCAAAAAAAATTACTAAGTTCATAAGCAACTTTATATATTAAATTATTATTGCTACCACACATATCGTCATTTTTGTTTTTGAACAATTGATTTAAAAGAAAATCAAATGATTTTAATATCTATTAATTCAATCAAAATTAATTTAGAACTCCCTATCGTGTCTTAATAGTAGTATTAAATAATTTACATACTGATTTATTGTACGTCTATTAAATAACAAAGTTTCTATATTCTCATAAAAAATCGTTAGAAACTCTAGCTGTAATTAACGATCTTTTATTTTTGTAAATATGTTAATATTTAAAATTTTATTAAAAAAGAACAATTTAAAATAGTTTTTCTCCCGACATATTTTAATTTATTGCACAGTTTCTTTGAAAAGAATTGAAGATAAACTTAATGAAGTTTCAGATTTGAACTGACAAAAAAAAAATTTTTTTTTGACAGAAAACAAGCATTACACAGTTCTAAAAATTTATTCATTTCTGATTGTGCAGTTTTGTTTTAAAAAGTTATTTATTTGCATGTAATTGTATGCCTCTTTTTCCCAAACCATCGTGAATTGTGATTTTGACCTACTAATAAGAATATCTTGAAACGAAAGGTTTGGTTTGAATCAATAATGCAAATATTGAACTTTGCCTTAGAAGTATTCAGAAAAGTGTTCTAAGGCTAATGTGACTTCTTAACTAACAGTCTATATTGATCTTAGGTGTTTACTCTTTAAGTCAAATATATCTCATTGATTTAATATTTCTGTACACTAGAGTCAGAATATATTTTTTCTAGCAAGTATGCAACTGCCACACATTATGTGTTTAATTGTCGAACTTACCATTTCTAACAACAATTACACTGGATACGAGTTCAGGTACACAAGTGCCTGCTGCTAAAATTGTCAGACCAGAAATGGTATCTGGTATGCCCAGAGTGTAACCTAAAAATATAAAACTTAATAAATTAATTGATCACAAAATATTAAGGATACTAAATATCTTATCAAAAAGAATTATGTTTACAAAATCTTACCTATAATAGCTACCATCCAGAAGATCAAGTAGGAGAGGACACCCAACCAAAGAATGGATCCAAGAAATGTCAATGGGAACCATCTTATTCTATCAATTGTACTGCAGTTTGGAATGGTAATGGAAAAAACTAAATTCGGTATCCACATTATGAAGAAGAAGAACTTGCTGAAACATCCGCCTTTTGGCACCTCCATCAAGTTAAATGCCATTGATTCTTCAAAGTCATTATTTACTGCAAAAGGAAGAAATGATAATGTTAAAAAAAATGTAGCAGTAATAATAAGAAATTATATTTTTTGTTTAATATTAGATCAAATTATATTCTAGTTTTAGAATTTTTGTTGAATAATTGCAAGGCTTAAAGTTATATGCATCCCCAGTGGCCGCTTGAAGCCCGTCCAGCTTCAAATCGATGGGTACCTGTTTGTCCAAGAAGTAAATGCAGCTAGTGTGCAGTGCTGACCACATTGCCACAATCATGCCGTTGGTCACGAAATTGTGGTGCCTTAACCTCCATGAGGACCCTGGCCCACAACTGGTAGTTGCGGTAAAGCTTTACCTTATAAATTTGTATGCCGCCGCGTTTTATTTCCTTTTAACACCACTAATAAACATTCACTATTATACCCCTGTAAATTTTAATTGAAAGTACATCGTAAATGATGCACACAAGAAATCAATTGCTCATATTCATGCTGGTTACAATATTTAAGGAAAAAAATGGAGCTATCCTGAAGTCAATAAATGGAAAAACTCGTTTAAAAAACGATTTGATCATGCAATGATACGATTTATTAGTATCCCAAAACGAAATTTAAATAATATTTGAAACCAATTACCTAATAATGTGCAAAAGAAAATTATGAAATATTATTAATAAATACCGTTTCAGTTGTTTTTTTTAATAAATTCTTAACATTTTGAAATTAAAAAATAAACGACTTTAAAACAACTCATAAAATTTCATATTGGTTGCAGTAGGAGTTAATCGCTTAGTTTTAGAAGATCGCTTAAGAAAATATTTATATTGAAAAGTTTTACTTTCAGTTGAAGAAAAAAAAAAAAGAAATATTTTAAAATGGCCTTTTTAGGCTTAGAAGGCAAGGCAAGCAATGAAACAAATTCGTTTTCGTTGAGAATTTTTTTCAAATGTTAAACGCATTACAAAAAAAAAATTTAGTCAGCCTGTATATTCTTGATGGGGGAGGGACTTACAAATTTAGAAGAATAATATTTATATTCTCTTAAAAAAATATTTTTGTGCAGTTTTGTGTCAACTATTCTAAGATTTTTTTTAGAAAATTCTCTTAAAATAAAGTGATTCAAAATTAAAAAAAATATCAAACTTACGTTTCTTCATGGCATCCATGTCATCGTCTTCATCTAAATCTTTTACAATTATATATTTTTCTGTTATTAGTTGTGGTACTAGTATAGGAGCCTTGAACTGTCCACTTTCCTTATCCAGCGTGTTACTTTCACCACTGGTAGTCATTTCGTCTGAGGCCATGAAGGAAGTACTCGTTGTTGAGGATGGACACGCAGAATCGCCACTATGATAGCGATGGGCCAGTCGATTTGCTACCAATAAGGCTGATCTCTCATCAAACAGTGGTAGAGAATCAAGATTCATTCCTTTCTTGGTTAACCACCAATCTTGAACATTCTTTGCCTAAAGAAAATTATAACAAAATTATATTTCTTTACTTACTATAGCATACGCATAAATTGAATCAAAATTTTCAGATTTTTAGGGAAAGAAAATATTTTAGAAACATTTTTCATGCTAGGGCATACTAGGATTGTTGAAGAAATGAACAACGGCCAACTTAAAAAAAGAAAACGATGACAATACGGATGAGGCCAGAATAAAACACGAGGTTTCCATCCAAAGATTGAATGCTTAAAAAAATACGGGTCACTGCATTGAATTTCATAGAAATTAAAAAATACTTCATCTAAAGCAAAGTGATTTTTTGTGTGTGGCCGTGAAATTCTCCGGATCTTTAAATCGCACCGAAAATCTATGTGTATCTGCTTTTGTGCTCTCACAAAAGCAGATTGTAGAATTAAAAATAGGGACATATGTTCATTGATTCTAGTCTGAAATTGGTTATGAAATCGTCGGGAGATCATAACAAAAATTAATAGGACGCAACCTGTATTAACATTCGCAATAAACTATTGTTTTTTAAACCATGCGTTTAATTGAGACTGTATATTAATTGATCAAAATGATTATTTAATGAGTAAGGTACAAGGTACATAAAAATGCGAGAAAAGCTTTTTCAGGGAATCCATTTTATTTGAAATATACAACCTCAAACAATACAGCCTTTATTCCCACAGACATTAGTGACCAAAGACTGATTATAAATTATAAATAAACTTTAAGTTAATATTTCAAGTTTTAATTCATGAATTTAGATAGCAAATAAGCTTACCTTTTTTGTCGTGACATCTTGAACAATGGTATTGAAGTAGAGTAAAATTAGGTAGGTCATGAACATAATTATAAGTATCAATGCTTCAATCCTGAAAATAATATTTCATATAATATTGTTTTTAAAAACAGAAATATTCTAAAAGTTTGCAATGTATAGGATGTTCCGTAATTACCGACCTTTATATACAAGTATCATTTTAGAATTCTTGTCAAAAAATGAAGCCAACAAAGTTACATTGAGAGTCGTAACTTAATATGTCAGCAATGAAAAACGAAAAACCTTGTTAAAATCTGACAAACCACTAATAAAGAAAGTGGTATTAACTACTTCAAAGCCTGTCGTGTTGCTGTAGGAAACTTGAAGACGTTTGTAATCGCTGCCTACAATTTTTTTTTCTTTTGTTTTTTTCGAGCATTTCCTCATTTTTGATTCCTCAAATTTGGATAGCGTTATGTTTTTCATTCTTCGCTTACATATTAGTTTACTACACTTAATGGACATGCAATTTTATTCATTTTTTTATAGGTATTCTAAAATTGTACATTAAGGGAGGCGATTACAGAACACTGGATATTCCTTGTGGACGGATCGGGATAAAGCAAAGTCTGTATATATATATATGGTGCTTTCAATATAAATGTAAACAACAACAATCTCGATCTCTTGACCTGCTCTACGGCTAGAAAGTATACAGCTGCTTATTAGAGCTTTTTCTGCGAGGCGATATTTTCAAACAGATAATTTTGTTTCTAAAAAAAGGAAGTAAATTATGAAATTTCTGAGCTCAAATCTGCTGTATTTCATATGATATTAAGTAATTCTGGTGAGTTTGAAGTGAAAATTTGTTTTAGTTATTTAGAGATGCATTGCTAAAAAAGGCGACATATTTGCTAGATTTAGAAAGAACTTGCATTATGAGCAGTTCTAATTTGGCCCCTTTTTATTTATCTATAACTGTTTCTTCTTGGTGCAAACCGTCGACCGTCATACGTTAATGTTAGAATGTTGTTCGAGAAGCTAGGTTAAGTTCATTTCACAAATTATCATTTAGGTTTAAATTTCTAAGTCGGTATACTGTTAACAAAGTAAGAAGTGCCTTATAACGATTCTTTTTTTCAACTGACAATTCTTACGTCTTGAAATGGCAGGTTTTCAAATGACGATTCTTCTTTTAAACACAAATAATAAATCAGGTAACAAATACGCGTTTGCAAGAAATACTACTCAAGAGAGTGTCAAAACACAACGATCAATTTTGAGCCAAATAGCTTCAAAACACACCAAAAACTCTAACCCGGGAGTATAAGCAGTAAAGAGCTCGTAGCTCTCCCTAGTGCAGATAACACCATCCATATACCATGTACACACTACCTACAATAATGGAAGAGACACTTTCAGTTTTGGACATTTTTTTTTTTTGATGGCTTAGAGGAGTTTAGTTTATGCAATTTTTCATACTTAGCAATAAGATTTAAGGCTTTCAGAGGTTTTGGAGACCTACAATAAATAACAAAAGAAAACAGTATTTTTGATCAAGCTATAAGCTTGTAACTTGCATCAATTACTTAAGCTGTTACTTTTAATAACTGCAGAAACTTTCGTAAACCCAACGTAAAAAAATGTCCAAAACTGAAAGTGACTCTTCCATTATTGTAGGGGAGTGTGTATTAACACAGCAAAAATATACTTGGAATATATTACTTTTAGATGGTAAAAGTTTATGCAGTGAATAATCAGAAGGAGCTTTCTTTACCACAATAGCTGAAGGATGAAAAAGTTGTATGTGGATTGAAAAAAGAGTATAGATTCTAAAATTTAAAAAAATTCTGCCCTTGTTTAAAATATGCAATTGCAAAAAGTTCCACAATTACTACGATTGTTTTTTTCTGCTTCGAAACTTTATTTAATTTCGGTCGAAAACTTTCGTTCTTTAATTGAAATCTTTACATAATGAAAATTATAAGGAACTAAACTTGTACTTCACTTTTCATCAAACTTTATTATTTTAGTATTTAATAACTTGACTATATAATTACTTTAGTGCTTATTATAAAGATTAAGACTTGTAGAGTAAAACGAAGGTAAATGGCAATTGCAAATTTTTTAATTACAGTACCTTGTTAATGCTTAGTAAGAAAAAGTCATATTTTTTAGAAATCTTTTTATTAGCTTCATATGCGCGATTGAAAAATTATTTAAAACGTTTATTTGAAAACTATTAGACATAAATACATTTATTTGAAAATTTTCGAATTAAATTTCCCTTATTTACTGTGTACAACTTTTCCACAATATAGCTTTAGGGCTAAAAATAAGAATTATTTAATCTCCTCTAGTAATCAACATATAACTCACCAAGTAACTAAATTGTCATGAATGATAACTACTAAAGCGCTAATGGTTATTATGTACATGGTTGTATCTCGAGATATGGGGAACCAGTCAAGTTCAACTCCCTACAATAAAAGATTGAGACATATTAGTAAATGATTTAAACAGTACAAATGAAGAGATTTAACTATCCAAATACAGAGTAATATGAAAAACATTTTTGTTATCATTTCGAAATCTAAATAAAAAAGGAATATCTGTACCATTTTATGAACAAACAAACAATAAAATATGGCTTCTTTTTAAAGAGCGACAGCTAACTTAAATTTTAAAGATTTCTAAATTTTAACAACCAGAAGAGACATTTATTTTCAAGAGTTGTGGAAGGTGGAAGCATTAATATGTTTTTCAATTTGAATAATAATAGTACAGAGCTAAAATAGTTGACAAGTTAGGTGCGGATTTACATTAAAATTATGACTTCAAATCTATGACAAAAGAACTTTTTGTATCATTTATTTTATGAGTAAAATAAATAATTACTCACCGTTTTTCCGACTGTGAATGCAGCTGCTCCTGTGACAGCTAAAATGTTGAAAACGGCTGAACCGACTACTGTCCCTACACCAATGTCACCTTCTGTTACGAAGGCTCCTGTCAACAAGAAAATTATATGTATATCTGCTGTATGATAATTTTTTTGTAACCTGTACATATTTATAATAACAGCAAAATTAATGATTTTCACCTTTCAAGTATTATCTAACTTCTGAATGATTTAAAAACAATAAGGCGTTATATTGCTAATAAAATGTTTTCTGAGTCAATTTTAATCAATATGCAATGTTAGTGCTTTTTAAAATATCATAACTAAACTTTTAGAAGAAAAAAAATTCGAACATTTCTAACTACTTCCAACATTTTTTTTATAGTTTATCTTTTAACTGTGTACTGAGTACCACATGGGCGAGTTTCTACAAAATTATTTTCCTTATTCCTCTATTAACTAAAAAAAAAAAAAAACTGAACTCAGTGGCGCGACAGCCCATAGCGGGCCAAGGCTTACTGTGCCCATCTCAGTTTTCTTGACCTTGGACTCTGGAGTGCAGGAGCTGATGTTCTGGTTAGGTGGTCAGCCGAACGCGGAACTCCCAGTGTTTAGTTCCCAAGCACGCTTGGTTCTCATTTATCGACCCACTGAAGGGATGAGAGGCTGAGTCAACCTTTGCCCGGCCCGAGGATCGAACCCAAGACCTATGACAGGGGTGCGCGAAGCACTACCTCTCAGCCACCAGGCGTCTATTCCTCTATTAAATAGGCTGAAATTAATTGCTGGTCAGGCTTTAAAAAAATAGTTTGGTTCCTATTAATAGGCCCGATTTGTGCTGCAAGAAATCACCCATAGAGGTGAAATTTTTTAAAAAGAATAAATATATTAGTTAAACATTGAGAAGGAATTTAATTTATTTGACATTTTAAAATGATAAAAATATATTAGCTAAACTTTGAGATAAGAATTTGATTTATTTGATATTTTAAAATGGCAAAAATTTCTCAATTAAACATTGAAATATTGTTTATTCGACATTTTGAAATGGAAAAAATATCTTAGTTAAACATTGAGAGAGGAATTTAATTTATTTGACATTTAAAAATGACATATATCTTGATTAAACATTGAAATAGGAACTTAATTTTTTTGACATTTAAAAATTACAGAAATGCCTTGGTTAAACATAGAATGGAAATAGGAATAGATAGGAATTTAAATCCTTGATTTCTTTTTTTATCTTTTTTTTTTTTACTCATTTCACAATTTAATATAACTGTTATAATTTATGCTCGTTTCTAACTACTTATCTGAATGATTTGAACAAAAAAATAACAAAAAGCAATAAACGTGATTTAGCGAATGAACGTGATTTAATTATAAAAACAAGATTTAATTATATGTTCATTTTTAATGAGAAAAAAAATGGCAACGAAATGTCTAAATATGTCAGCATTTTGAAATACCAAAAATATTTTCAGAGTCAGTAGTTCACAAATTTTGTCTCAGCAAATAACAATATTTGAGTAACATAAATGTTTATTGATAAAATACGAATAAAACAACACTGTTATCAATTTTTTCTCATTTTTTTAATCATTATTTCTTGATAAGATTTTACTTTCTTTGAGAGAAAGAAAAAATATACCAGTTATGTCTAGTAAAGGACTGTTATTTTCAGATTTATCTCACACATTAAGTTCACGTGAAGTAATATTGTCACCTGTATTTTCAGATAGATACATCTTCGTGATAGTGGAAATGCAGAAAAAAAAATACTATTTTATCACAATTTATAAACAAATCTTTTGTGTTTTAACTGAAATAGGAAGCTGATAATATTACTTATGAAAATGATAACGTTGCATAAATGATAACATTTTAACTAGATTAAGCTCGATAATACTAGTTATTACTATAACTCCGTTTTATGAAATTAACAAAAATTTAAACTTTTACTGTTACTTTAGAACTGTTAAATCTGTGTTAAAAATAATAATAATTATTTGGTTTTGATACTGTGTATTTGTGTTTAGATAAAATGAAGAACACCCCAAGTAGCACGATTCACAAAAACGACATCGTAAAAACTTAGCTTTGAACATTGTACAATATCGTAGCGAAGCATTGTACTATATAAAAATAGACCCCTTTTATAACGTATATTCAATATCACGAAACAATATTGTTCGATATTGTAAAAGCGTTGGGGAACGTCGATCGATATCTCTCAGCATTTACAAATACTGCTAAATTTATATTTTAAATTTATTTTTTGGAATTATAACAATTTGACGTCATTTTTTGTCTATTAAATGATTAATTTTAATTTAAGAACACAATAAAGTTAAAAATGAAAAGTTTCACAAACAGACTTTTAATGTGAAATCGACAGGAATCGTACAATATCGTACACACAATGTCGATTTTGGCCAATATTGACAATGTTGGTCGATGTAGACTAAAGCTGTTACAATATCCCTGTGCTACTTGGGAATAGCAATTAATATTTATCTTCTAAATTTTGTTACAATACATCTTATATAGTTATCCAAAACATGATGATGTCGCTAACTGTAGTGACATTTATTAAAATCCGGCATACAATTCTGCATACCTAAATAATTTAATTTTGTCCTCCAAAAAATAACTCTTACCTATGACTGATGAGAAAAGTTCTGGAGAGGATGCACCCACAGCCATGAATGTGGCACCGGCAATGTCCGAAGGGACTTTGAAATCTGAAGAAGAAAATTAAATAAGGCTATTATGCACAAAAAACATCCTCTCTCAACGCGTAACTTCTAGCAAAAACTAATTTAACGATTATCAATAGCTTACTTTAACTAATAAAATTTATTTCGTTAAAGAAACTAATATTGTTCAGTTATAATTTTAGAGCTTTCTGAATACACAAATTAAAATAATTTTACTTTTAGTTATTTAACTTGATAAATCATTCGATGTGTACAGTAAACTTGGTAAGTGTTTCTTACATATTATTTATTTCGAAATCCGACAATTTTGTTTAACTATAATTTTGAGCCTCTGAAAAAGATAGCTTCTCAAACTAACACTGTACAAATTTGTAAAATATCATGTGAAAAGTTATTTTAGTAACATATCAATTTGGGGAAATGCAATCTTTAGTAATGGATTCTAATTGATAAATAAGGTAACATTCTGTGATTTAATGCTGCAGTTTAACACTTTCACTTGCGCGAGTCTGAAACTTAATTGCTTTATGTTTCTCATAGAAAATAAATGAAGATCAAGGACGAAGGACGGTTTATGTCCATTTTTCACAAAAAAAAAAAAAAAAAAAAAAAAAAAAAAAAAAAAAAAAAAAAAAAAGACACTTGGATCATTATCTGTTGCATTTTGAGGATTACTGAGTTTTTTTCAAGTAACGTCAGACCAGATCAATAACGTTCTCGCCGAGAGTTATTTGCAAAACTAAACAGAACCGTCTTGCATGAACGGTTCTGGTTGGTTGGTTCTAATGCCACTTGCAAGCCTGCTTGGTGAAACCGAGCATATTTAAGGCAGAGTGTGCGATTCTTGTTTTTTCAGTGGCGCCATCTATGGCCAAGAATTCGACTTTTGCCACACCATACGTCGCACCCGTTTAAAGNATGTTAACGATTTAAATATATTTTTGTTACTTACCCCTTGGTAATTATTGAGTAGTTTTCCTGTGCCATCAAGAAAACGAGAAAAAGGTTATATTCACTAATAATAGTAATAAATCTTCGGTGTATTTACCCTATTAGAATTGCTTTAAGTTGAAAAGCGAAAAATGCCACTTGCAAGCCTGCTTGGTGAAAGCGAGCATATTTAAGGCAGAGTGTGCGATTCTTGTTTTTCAGTGGCGCCATCTATGACCAAGAATTCGACTTCTGCCACATCATACGTCACACCTGTTTACAAGGCGGACCCATTCATACATTCATCGACAGATCGTAATTTTGACCTGAATCAAAGAACGATCGATCTCCAATCCAGTACCCCCAGAGGTATTGATTTGTTATGGGAACATGGAGGAGTTTGAAACTCGACAGAATTTTAACGTGCATCAGTCACACGGGGACAACTACACGGGGAGTCTTCGGCCGGCTGGGTTCGAACCCACGAACTCTCGGACATGGGCCCAACGCACTACCAACCAGGCTATCCCGGCCTGGGAACGGTTCTTGTTCGAGCGTATACAAGAAGAGCAAAGAAAAATATAATAAAGAAGACGACGGGAATATTAGTGAGAAAGTATTGCATGGCGATCAATTTAAAGGGGGGAAAACGGTCAACTCAATTTTCAAATTTTATATTTTTTTCATCATCAAAAATTTTAAATTTTGTTCTGAAATTTTAGGGATGTAAATAAATTCTTGTGACATTTTTGTATTATACATTTTTATTTTGACGATTTCAATCGAATGCTTCAATCGAATTATCAAACATTGAAATTCGTTTTTCTCAGAATCAACTTTTATGGACATAAACCCTTTCATCTTCATTTCCTATAGAAATGGGCAGATTAATGTTCTTGTGTATTATGGCAGATGAAATTCTTATACTACTTTCAGTAGAGGAATGTGGTGAAATGATGAAATTCACAAAAATTTTAGATCAATTTTTACACAATTTTTCATATAGTGATGCTAAATTATTTACATAAAAAACTTTTTGAAAACTTTTAAAATTAATTTGAAGAAAAAATTTTTTTAAGCAAATGAATTTCAGAATGCAGTTAACAATTTTAAGGAGGCATTAATGTTTTCAGCAAATGAGAGACTACCTCTTACAATTTAAATCCGTTTCTCATTCGAGTATTCATAAAACCTCTCAGTTGATCGTAACCCAATTAACTCAAAATTATAATAGAAATATACAATAATTTATAATCACACTAAAATATGAAAGTTAACTTTCATTATTTTTTATACATAATTTTTAATGAAGCTTGTCAATTTAAAATATCATTTGGGAGCATCTTTTTATCTTAACTCCGCGATTCTTAAAAGGCATATCTTTACACCGAGTTGTTTAAAAATTTTATTTGCCTAAACTTAAAAAAAAAATAATAAAAAAAACATTTTTTTGCTAAGCCATTTTCTTTTTTCTTTTTAATCATTAAAAAAATTATGCAAGAAGCATTGATAAATTCATGCACTGAAAAAAAAAATAGAATACTTACAAGAAGAAATTACGTTGAGACATGGTACAAAGTATTTGTCGCAAACAATTGCTAGCATAGCACATATGTAAGCGACTATGATTAAGTGAACTATGAGTCCACCCTTTGCTCTCTGTTCCTGAGTGAAGAAATCGTCTGGAAATTCATCCACTGATGGAGGGATGCAATCTGGAACGACCCCCACGCCGCCATTCTCCAGCGGCGTGGAATTATTGATGCTTAGAATGTGACGACCTACAAACAATCACAATAATTTTTGATGCAAAATGTAACCAAGTACCATAGTGCAATTTCATCATTTACGAGCGTAACATTTGCAGACTTATGAAATAATTTACATTTTAGTCAAATTAATTTAACAGGGGGACTGAATGTAAAGAATAGTGCAATAAAAATTGTTCTGTCGATTTCCGATCATGACTCTTTTTTTGTCGAGAATGCTCCTCTTATGCATTTTTTTTCAATAAATATAAAATTATTATTAATATTTTATGAAGAATATTTTCTTAATTTCAAGCTTATTTCTTAAAATGTTTCTTCAGATCAGAAATTAACCGTGTAATGTTTACCATATTTTGAGAACGGATTCAAAAGAGATGCGTAAATTATTAATATTAACAGTTTCTACGCCTTCAAAATTTTAAATTTTTGAAAAATTTGGTCACTGTTAAATTACACTACCACTGGCTATTGGCCAGTTGCAAAGTTACTGAATTTTGCCCTAAATATATATAACTTAGTTTAAATTTAAAGAAGAAAAAAAACAGTCAAGCTGTTTTGACAATTTTTATAAAAATAACTCTGGGTGCCTTTTACAATTTTTTATTCATTTCCATAAGTTCTGAAAAAAAGTTAAACATCAAAAACTGGATATTATGGACGCAATACAATGTGTTACATCCGTGACATCCGATTTTTATTTTTTTAATAAATTTTTTTTAATTTCAAAAAGTCAATAAAAATTTTAATAATTGTAAAATAACAAAAGTTGTTTTAAAATGAAATATTTAAACAGCTTGACTATTTTAACGGAGTAATTTCAAAGTCTGCAAATATTACATTCTTGATAATGGAATCGCCCTTTTTCTAAATATTTTTAAAAAATATTACTAAACATAAAATGTAGACATGACTTTAACAAACAAATTAAAGATAAATAATTGGGGAAAGATCATAACAAATAATTAATACTGAATTTACCTTTTAGAAGAAGCAATATCAGATCTGTGATATTTTTACCACCAAAGAATATCAAAGAATCAAACATTTAAAACTAATTCTGTTGAAATTCTTCGAAATGAAACTTCATCTTTAGAACAAAAAGGTATTTTTTCTCAAACGCATCATCTATCATTTTACTTAAGCAAGAGATGTCTGTTTTTTCTAAAAGGTCTGAAAATTCTGTACTGAATGTTCTCGATTTTGGCTTCTTTAAAACTACAGCGACACTTGTTACCGTTTAGGTTTCTGCTTTCAAATTCAAGCAACTGCTTCAACTCAAATATATGGTTACAAGTAAAAGTCTATCGTATTTAAACAATAGAAATTAAGGTTGTAACTTTATAGTTCTTCATTCAAATTTGCTTCACTGAATCTTCGTCTGATTAAACACCGTAGTCGTGTGATTAAAAAACACACGTACACTTTATTTTTTATTTTTAATCAGTCATATAATTTTCTTTGATTTAAATATTTATAATCGAATAGCCCTCATAAAATGTTTATAATAAAACAGAATATTAATATGCGGAAAATTTTGTTAAAATATTTATCACCTGGAAAAAATATTTGTTAAAATCGTCTGAGAATCGTTTATATTATTATTAAAATCGTTTGAAGTTTAGAATACAATTTATTTTCAACTTCAAATTAAAAGAATTATACATAGAAATATTGATTAAATTTTTATCACGTTTCGAGCTTTAAAATAATTTTCAATTAACTTACTATAAGTTTTCAATTAAAATTTGTTTTTACCGATCCCTAAATGTAATTTTATTTTTGCGGCTTTTACACAATAAAAATATCAAAATTAAAAAAAATGGTTTTAAAGGGAAGTTAATAAACTGTATACAATATTCTTTTCTTTTTATATTATTGGGATTACATTTTTTTCAGATAATTAGTAATATCAGTAAAGGAAATTAAACAAAATGATCAAATATTTTTTATCGAAAAAGCTCAACATACAAAGATAAAATTTAAAGATAACTTGCATTGTATTGTTTTATACACATATAAAGTCTAAACATAGTTGTGCGTTTATTGAATTATGTATTTATATATACATTTTTAACGTTTTAAAAATATGTTTAATACCCGTGTTACTAGACGATATTTTAAGTATAATTATGAGATTTCATTATATTTGAATATTTTTGTTTTTATTTCCGTATGATGTTATAACACAACTAAAATGTGACTAATCATCGAAATGTTTAATGAGGAAATGATAATTTTTCATAATTGGATACTTGCAAGTGACGTCATCATAAGTAAATCGTGGCATTTGTCTATTTCTAACCCAATCATGCTGGACACACGCGCATGACGTCGCTTTCAGGTATTCAATTAAATGGGATTTAAATCACATGATTAGGCATAATCACTTCAGTTCATCTCGAGCTGCAAGTACTCTATTATTGAATGTGAAGTCATGAAACACTTGCATACGCATAATTTTTTTGATAAGAAAAATCTTCCCGTTCGTTATTTTTTTTTCTTCAAACAAATGGATTAACTAATATTTTTAACTTAGAAATGAATAAAAAATGCACACTCTGCACCGAAATTACATAATAAGTTGATGGAATGCATTATTGCGGTTATGAATAGCTTTTAGTAACTGTACTTAAATTTATCTCAATCAGATAAAACCTAATGAAAACAAACTTATCTAACTATATTTTTATTTAATCTGGCAAAAAAGATTAATCATCATGACCAGCGATATTTCAGTACACCCTGAAATGTTTGTTCTAAATCTCAAATAAAAAGTTAAAGGATGCGACTCGATAATATATCAAATATTCAATCAAATTATTTATCAATGGTCTTTCATTTGATTTCAAATGTAAAACCATTGTTTGCTACAGCAAATTTTTCTGTATGCAGTAAGATAGCAAGGTCTTAAGTCCTCTGAATAATAATATTAATAATAGCATATTACTTATACAAATATTTTTTTTTAAACTTTGAATATTTAGAAATTTATTCTATGACAGTACGAAGTGCATTTTGAATTTACAGTTGACGATTATTCTTTCATAGCTAATTAACAAAATTAAGATATATTACTTCAAAATTAAGCAGTTTTTTAGATGAGTATTCTTAAATTAAATAACCAGGGAAAGGATGGAAAGTAAGTGACGCTTTGCGCTGAGAAAAAAAGTATGGTCAAAGCTACCAGAATATGGTAAAATTTATTGTTGGTCTGGCTCTATGGGAACACCAAAATGGGCAGTAATTTTTACCGGAACGCTTTTATAATGATTTTCTTAAATTAACAATAAAATGTAATTTAAAATATTTGACAAAATTTGGTAAATGTTGTAAAATTTAGTAATTTTATAATAATACTTCCCATGACGTAAAAACCATTTAGTCAGTTAAATTTTTCTTTTCACTTTGGTATTTTTTACTAAATATGTTGTAATAAGAAGTATAATTTTGAAAATCAAAAACCGTAACCATATGAACAGAAAAATCATTAATCACAGTTTTGGTTTTTATTACCAGAATTATGATATTTTTATCAGAAATGACATAATCATACAGTACGGTAATTTTACTAGAATTTTTTTCTCAGTGTGGTGTGTCACTTGATTATTTCCAATGCATTTCAGTCAGTTCAGTCAACCAGATAATTTTCAATGCATGAGATTCTTATGCATTATATGGTTAGCTACATTTTTTGCCACAGTCTGTTCTTGTTTTTCTTAATAATTACCTTTTTATGTATGTTTAACGAGGTAAGTTTTATAAAATCATTGTAATTCTATTCAGTGTATTATTATTATGATTATTATTATTATTATTATTTTTAATCTAAAGACTTATACATTCACGATGATAATAGAAAAAATTTGATGTTTATATTTTCATTCCGAATTATCTTTTCAAAATATTTAAAAAATAACATCATAGTACATTATTTAAATGATTTATCAAAGATAACTTTAAGATTTAAAATAAAATCATGAATGCATACAAATATTTTACACGATTGAAAAAGATCAAAATTGGAAGCAAAAAAAATTATCGTGTTTTAAATTTTTTTTTTACATAAATTATCCTTTAATATCTAAAATTTTTTATCACAATGAATTTCAAAAGAGAAGAACTACTAACATTAGATTTGTTAGTTTATAAATTGTTTGGATAATTTTCTCTCTCCACAGAATGATTTCTTATTAGCAAAATAATTTCGCATCATTATATTATTTTAATACAATTAAAGTTCTCAGCAAGTTATACAAAAACCGCTTTTAATTACATAAAATACCATCACAATTAATGCAATAAGATATTTCTCTGCTCTCTAAAAATGATTACCCATAGGGTGTTCGTAAGAAAGCTTTTCCTTCATACAGCTTATCTTGATTCTTCTGCGGGAAGAAATTTTGATTGGGTATTGCGGGAAAGCAAATAGGATAAGAGACAAATATTTCGTATAGCTGGCAAATTGTTTCCATGAACGGTTAAGAACAAACATTTCTTTATAATAAAGCAATGTGTTAGTTTTACTGATAGATAATAAAATTAAATTATCTCTTCGGTTTCAATAAATTTTGATGACTATTCCTGAAGACTTATTAAAAAAATATCCATCCATGTATTCAGATAAATCTTGTACTAGTGGGGAAATCGTTTCTCTACAAACTTAATAAAACTGATAAACCAAATTAAAAAGTGTGCGGACAGTGGTTATGTTTTTATAAAAATCAAAATAATGTTCGATTTTATATGTTTATACTACATGTTATTTCCTTTTTATGTAAATTATTTACGAAAAATTTCAACTGTGTTACAAAAAATATTAATATTTATCGTTTTAATAACTTATCGTTATGAAATACAGCATGAAATATCTTCCAAACACGGCTCACTTACAGACGATAAGCTTTCAAATTTGTACTTATTTGAAGTTATTTAGACCAAAGAGAAAAGGTCATTCATCATTGAAATCTCTTTAATTTACAAAATCAGTTATTGATAAATTTTTGAATACGAATAAATAAATAAAAAATTTAAAACTACTTTTTTTTTTGGATTTTATATTTTAGTACTCACAATCTAACAGATTTTTTGTAACTATTAAAATGTTTTTATAATTAAAAAATACCAAAATTTCATCGAAATCATATCATGAAAAAATGGAACATTGATGTCCCATCTGAGTTAAGTGGTTCCCAAAAAGCGTTCCACGGAACACTAGGATTACGTGGAATTGTCACAGGGGTTCCATGAGTTATGAACTTTCTCTTTTTTAAACCAGTAATTATTTTTAAAACCTGCTACAGGTTTAAATTCAACCGATAATCCATTATTTATTTAATAATTAGGTTATAATTATGAAATTAAAGTAAAATGCCAATAAAAAAGAAATCTCAAATTTTTAAAAAACATGCAATTTTTTCCAATAACATTATTTTGAATGAATTATGAAAAGGATATGCATTTACAAATAATTATATCAGCATTTCTCTACAGAAAAAACATCAACTAAAACCACTTTCCTGTACTAGTGAGGCTACTGTGCAACTCACGTGACAGACAAAATAAATGAAATAGAAGGTATTTACCATTCGGTGAGGTGTGTTGTGCAGCAGTAATTGGAGTGTTGTCCCCTTTGAAGCTACCATATAGTGCTGAAAAGAGGTGGAACACTTGAAAGAGCCACAAATGGCGACGACGATAGAGTTTCCACATACGTGTGAGGACCTTTTGTTTATAAAAAAAGTGGGCAAAAGGTGCGAATACACCTTGTGAAGAGGTTTGCAGGTGAGAAAGGAAGGATCGAAATCCAGCGTAAACTTTTTTAGAGCGCTCTCCTATCTTATAAAGGATCCCGACCGACACCTCTTATCTTCAAGAGCCAATCGCTCTCTCATTCTGATAGACACCAGCCTCCACCAAACATTCGAAAGGTGCCACAATCGCGCAGGAAAGGCTGACCATGGATTGCGAAAAACCGATAATAATGAGTTAATACATTTTTAGAAACGCCTATAGTACTTTGAGTTTTATGATAATAGATGTAAACAAAGAATAACCCTAAAATGTGATTTTTTTGGGGGTAGGAAAACGAGGAACTTCTAAAATTTTAGTTATCTTTTCATTATATAATGTTGTTTTTTTTAGCTTAATATAATCTGTGGCTATTGTTTTATTCGTAGGATGTAAATTTTATTTTAATAAAAGCAAATGTATGTAAGTAGATGGGTTAAAAAAAGTTTAATTAAGTTGATTAATAAAACTTCGATTTTCATAAAAATTAAAATTAATTAATATTCAAAAATTCATTCTAAGGATAGAAATGTGAATTACAATAAATGAAGAAACACAGAAAAATGAAGAACCTTAAAGAGACAGTAAAAATTATTTAAAAAAAAGAGAGAAATACACAAAATGAGCATAAAACAAAAAAATGAAGGGAAAAATAAGAATATCTATATATTTTTTTAAGATTGCTATTTCTTGAAAGCTATTAGACCGATTTTTTGCTAGTTTACAGAATATTGAAATTAAAATTATGCTTTTCAAAAGTTGAAAATTATGTACCTCACAAATTTTCGATAATCACTAATTAAAAATTTAACAAATAATAATTAAAAAATTATTTCTATTACAGAAAACACTTTTTGAGTACACGAGTTTCGTAAAAGGAAGCAAGAACATTTTTGATCAGCTCTGAGGATGTAATAAAACATACAAAGAAAAGAAAATAACATTCAGAGGACTTGACTTTTGTCCGTTCTCCATACTAAATCATGGAGTAAATTATTGGAACCAACCGTATTTTTATTATTCGACAACCCAGGCCTCTATTTTAAGGATTGAAATTCTGAATATTTTATTTTATTTTACAACCGTCGTTAAACAGCTGACCCAATTTTAATTTTCATCCACTTGGATCTTTGCTTGAAATTTAAAAAGTAATATTTCCTTATCATAAATGGCATACGTACACTAGTTCATTAGGATCTTTTCCCTATCATTGTGTGATTATGTTCCTTCGTCAGAAATATTTCACATCTATGTAGCTTTAATTGAAGACCATTGGTTAATAAAATGAAACTAACTATATTAAAAAAAAAAAGGTTAAGTCAACTTGATCCGGTCTTCTTATTTCCTCATGAACTTTATTATTAAAATTGTGTGAAATTATTTTATAGATTATCGTTGACCAAGTTAACCATAGTTAAGAGTTTAAATGGATGTGCATACTTCATATCTATCAAAATTTTATGTCTTAATTATTTTTTAAACAATACTTTTTTTTAAATCTTATAAGAAGTGAATAGTTTACACTTAAAGGCCACCAAAATTAATGGAAAAAAATTATTTTATATTAACTATACTGAAAATCGTATTTTTTTTTTATACATTTTTTTAAAAATTCAATATATGTATGAGCCTTTTCCAAAATCAGTTTTCAATTATGTTTTTGGTATTTATGAATAAATCTAAGAAATTTGTGTTTATAGAAACCTAACTAAAAATCATGTATACGTAATTTTTTCTCTATCGGTTAACAAGTTAACTTACTTTCGAATATTTTTGTTCTAATTAGGTCCATCGAAACATATTATTTTTTTATTTAATTACTTACTTATTTCATTATTGCTTTCTTCTTTTTTTTCACAATAAAGTTTCATTTTGAATTTTCCAATCACCTCGTTTGTCTCTTATACAAAAATTTTATGTCAGGTTTTTTAAACATCTTCTAAAAGAACGAAAAATGTCACTATATCTCCATATTGATTATGTCAGTAAATAATGTGGCAATAAAGTTAAGATAAGTTGAAGTTCAATGAAAATAAATAATGATATAATGGCATAGATAATGAAAATTTTTCTGTCTTAAATTTCGAGCACGAAAAATATGTCAAAACTATACGCATAAAATTTCATTTTATTAATTGCACAAGATCAGTTTGAGAACACTTCATAAACTTGAAAAAATTGTGACAAAAAAAACAAATTTTTTTAAAAAATATTTTAGAATTTTGTATAATAGATAATATTTTCTATTGCTTTTTAAAATAAAATAATGAAGTAGACTAAAAGAGTGTAATTATATTTAGTATTTTTTAATAATATGTTTAAAATAATTAAATAATTAAAAAAAAATTAAAACAAGTTGACAAGTTTAAATGTTTAAAGGGACCTTTAAACATTTAAACTTTTTAAAACAATTTACAGTAGCTTTCAGTAAATCCTTCTGAGACTCTGCGTGTTGGATAATATTTGATAAAATTTTATAACTTAAAAAATAATATTTTAAAATTTTTCTCTGTTTGCATGCCTTAATAAAGAGATTGTCATTATAAAAACATAATTGAATTTATCCCAGTTAGTTGACTTTTTAATTACAATAAAATATTACAACAAAAATAGAAATTCGATTCAAAAAGTTTTCTGGAAAGTTTTATGGCATATAAATATCTTATTATTTAAGTTAAACTGTTTTTGTTTCATAATCATAATGTGAAAATTACACGCGGGGAGAAAAATTCTCCTAAAATTACCGTACTGTACAGTAATAGCATTTCTAATAATAATAATAAAACATTATTTTGGTAATAAAACTAAAATATATGGTATTCCATTCATTTAGTAATTTTTCGTTCACATGGTAACTGTTTACCAAAAACTCTGGATTTCAAAATTATAGTTCTTATAACCAAATGTTTTATAGAAAATACAAAGCTGGAAAGTAAATAGAACCAAATAAATGGTTTTTATGCCATCGTCTAAGAAATAGTGATTAAACTATCAAAATTTGCCCCTTTTACTGAGTAAGTCTCAGATTAAAACACTGTATTTTATGGTTAATTTAACCAAAATCTTTACTGACGCTCTTCGGTAAAAATTACCAAGTTTTTTGGTGTTCCAATAAACACAGTAAATTTAACCATATTCTGATAGTTCTGTCCATACATTTTTATTCTCAGTACACTATAAAAATATTTACAATGTGCCAAAAAATGCTAAAAATTAAAATTTGTAATTTTTTTATTTAATAATTAAAAATATCTGAAAAAGTAAAGTTTAAAGCAAAAGTAACAATTGTATTTTAAAGAGCCGTGGTGGCCCAGGGAATAGAGCGTTCATCTTTCAATGAGGTGAACCGGGTTCGAATTCCATCGATGACACGAATCCGTATCCGGCTTGCACCGATCATAGTGCTGACGTGAAATATCCTCAGTGGTTGACAGATCACGGGTTAGAGTCCCTTTGCCGTGAGGCTAATCGTGGTCCTCCTCTCCATATAATGCAAATGTGGGTTAGTTCCATCAAAACGTCTTCCACGAAGGCAAAATTTCTCCCAATACTTGATCCAGGAGTTTCCTTGCCTTCTGGAATGGGTTCAAAATTACAAGGCTGCGGAGTTGAACATTAGTAGTCGTAAAACCAAAATATTAGGCCGGCTGAGCAATGACGGTTATGAAATAAAAAATGGTATTTTAAAGGATTTATTTGCATTTATTAGTTTACCTTCTTCTAAGTTACATATTTTTAAATAAAAGCCGCGTTATCTACTAGTATTTTAAGCTCGGGTCAAATGAGGGTATTCTAGAGAAAATGACACTGTCATTAATTTTTTTAAGAAACTGAAACTAAATCCTAATCTTAATTAAAAAATGAGTTATTGATTTACGTGCAGTTAGTAACAAATTGTAATGAGGCGCGTCCTTTAAAATTTATCTGTGAAGGACTTCCAATAAAAAAAATAATAACAAATAGGTATGAATAAATAAAAACACAGACCGTGTCACAGTTCGACAACTTACGTAGTGTTATGCTGCGAAAAAGATAACAAGACTAAATCAAACAGCGGATAATCTGACTAATGGCTTTGTTCGAGTAAGCGGGAACTATCGCTTTCGCAATATTAGCTCTTTTTCATAAAGGCACCGTTTTATCGGTATTCGAAACTCTTTTGGATAAGAAGTCTATCTTAAGAACTCTTAAATTTCGGGGGTGATTTGAAAATCTGAGCAAATATGAAACAGTTTATCAGATAAGAATCGATTTTTCTGGTAGCCGAAAAAGCCGCTTGTTTTGATGGCGTTAAGAACCATGAGAAAAACAACGGTTTTTTTCCCTTCAATTGTCAATAATAAAAACTGATGTGCTTAGAAATATCAATTAATCAATTTTCAAATGTAATTTTTAATTATTTAGGCTTAGAAATTTAGAATTATTAGATTTTTGATTTTGAAGAGCAAACTTGTGAAAGAATTTTTATCAATTTATCTCTGAGGTAGAAGGTTGACAATGAACAGCAACCATTTATCGACTAGTACGCCATAACAATACACTTGAATGAAGTTAATATCAGTTTTTAATCAAAATCGAGTTAAAATTTTGTGCAAGATAGGAAATATTTGCTTTTGAAATACAAAATATTTATCAGCTAGGATTATATAAAAAGACATCCGCAACTCCAAATAAGTTCAATTCAAGAGCAAGGACACTAGGTGGGATTAAAACTTCTCATACTTTCTGTTTCTTTAAACTATTAGTGCCCATCGTCCTTTTTTTAAGAATGGTTCTAAAAATGCGATATAAATAAATAAATATAATATTTTTCGATATAAATTTAAAATAAATTACTTTTAGGTAGTTATTTCTGCTGTCAGATACTTATTCCTTCAGATCAATAGCAATATTCCTTCAGTGTGATAGTCACTGAAAAAGGGGAGCATATTAGGTTGATAATGAAGAATTTTTTTTTGTCAAACCTTTCTCAAAAATTCTTTTTTAACATCCAGAAGAAAGCTTAAAAGTTTGTTTCTTATTAATTGCTTTGCTTTCAGCGAATATTTTGGCAAATACAATTTTAAGAACATTTTTCGTAGTATAGCATATAACTTTAGATTTTTTTAAAAAAATTATTGCTTTTGAATTGCGTCTCTTAATT